CTGGGCCCTGAGGGCGCTGGGTGGGTGAGCGTGGAACTGGTTTCTTCTGTGGAGTAGACTACGTGCCTCCCTACAGCAAGCACACAGGCACACGGGAAAGAGTTCCTGTTCTACAGAGCTGGCAGCTTCCCTAGGAGAGCATAAAAAATTAAGTCTCCAAATGTTCTATGTTGGACGGGGGTCCATGTTCTTAAAAGGAATAGACCAGGGTAAGTCGAGAGGTGCTGAGTTGGAGGGGGGCTTCCTATGAGGTCCATCTCAGCAGCCCTAAAATGGGTGAGGGATGAGCTTTCAGGGCCGGGGTCAGCAGCGCAAACGCCTGGGGGCAGGACGGTGCTTGGGTCCCTGCAGGATGCGTGCAGCAGGTGGAGGACGGAGTGGTGAGAGAGGACTCGAGGGGTGGGTGGCAGAGGACACTGTGCCTGTTTGCTGTTGACATCCAACTTTGCTCCCCTGGGGACCCAGCCTGGGGGGCTCTGCTCCTAACCTGGGAGGCTCTTGGCAGGCAAGGGTGGAGCAGCTGCTGGGTGCGGTGAGTGGGGTCTGGGCTTCGTGCCTCCCCCGGCTGTGGGGGCTCCCTGAGGTGCTTGAGCCCATGACTCCCCATCCCTCCACTTCCCTGCTGGGAAAACTGAGGGCCCGATCAGCGGAATCGATTCAAAACAGATGAGGCTATTTTTTTTCTGAGCATTTTGTTTCCAGTCCCACCCCTAGCCTGGCACAGAGCTGGAGTGACCGGCCGAGGGGAGGGCTCTTGCCTGGCCCAGCCCAAACCCCTCTGGGGCCCCTGGCTGGCCCCTCCCAAGCCTGCCCAGGGACCTGCTGCCCACAGGCCTACCCGCTCTGGCCGAGCATGGGGGTTACATAAACAGGCACATTCATGACTTCAAAGGGCGAGGCAAGAGGCTGCAGGGACCCAGGTATGGGCTCAGGGTGCTGGGGCCACCTGCACCAGCAGCTGCCCCACAGATGCTGCAGGGAGGGGCCTGGCACTCCCCCCATCCCAGCACCTTCTGCAAGCAGGTCCACCTCCAGGCCAGGCACTGCCCAGTGGGCTCTTGTCGCCGTGAGTAATGTTTAACTTGGAAGGGCCTCTGGACAACTGCAGGGGAGAAGTTAACAACAAGTTTGGATTGCAATCCGCTTGCCAGGAGGGGGGCAGAGAGAGGAAGGGAGAGAGAGAGGGTAAAGTTGAGAGAAAGAAAGGAGACCAGAAGGTTGGCCGGGGGACGTGCACTCCAGGGAGGCAGGGCTGAGAGGACACCCCTGGCCTGGGATCCAGGGCTATGGTCTGTGTGTAGCCACGAAGCGCAGGCCCCAGGGCCAGGTGCCCATTGTGCCCAGGAGTGGGAGCTCTGAGGCCAACTGGCTGGCGCTGAGCCTCCCATGCCTCAGTTTCCCCTGCAGAAAACACCCTGCACCCAAGACGGGCTTTGGGGTCCAGCCTTGGGGCAGAAACACTGCACACACGTGCACACACATGCAGGCACGTGGGCACACAGAGGCTCACATGCCTGCACGCATGCACACACAGGCATGTGCGCACACACACACACACCCACATACACACGGGTGTTAGCAAAACGGCCCCGCCTGAATCGCTGAGGCCTCAACCCAAGGCCGGAAAAGTCCATGACGCCGGAGCAGGGATGAGGTCCCATTCCAGCAGGCCGGGGGAGGGCCGCCGCACTGGAGCCGGGACAGAGCTCTCGCCAAACAGAGGCCTCCTGCAGCACAAACCCCGGCCTTTCGTGGGGTCAGTGCCCATAGGGTTGAGCACCACGTGCCTGGCTGGGCAGTGCTCCTGCCAGGGTCCCCTTCTCCACTGTAGGAAACACAGCTACTCCCGTGGCCGCATCTGCTCTGCTGTGGCCCCGAGACAGGGAGTTTCCAGCGCATGAGTGGGAGTCCGGGCCCCGGGTGGGGCAGATGCCAAGTGGGCGCCAGGGAAGGAGAGTGCTGGGCCAGGGATCAGGAGCACACGTCTCCTCTCCGGCCTCCTCTCCTGCCTCCATCTGCCACCTCCATCTCCAACAGCCCAGATGACCTGGGGGCAGCTCCCTGACCTTGCAGGCTCACTGTTCTCACCTAGAAAAGAGGAGAGCGGGCCGGGCGCAGTGGCTCACGCCTGTAATCCCAGCACGTTGGGAGGCCGAGGTGGGCGGATCACGAGGTCAGGAGTTCAAGACCAGCCTGACCAACATGATGAAACCCTGTCTCTACTAAAAATACAAAAATTAGCCAGGCATGGTGGTGTGTGCCTGTAATCCCAGCTACTCAGGAGGCTGAGGCAGGAGAATCGCTTGAACCTGGGAGACGGAGGTTGCAGTGAGCCGAGATCAGGCCTCTGCACTCCAGCCTGGGTGACAGAACAAGACCCTGTCTGAAAAAAAGAAAAGAGGAGAGCGGCTTTGACTGTCTTCAGCCTCTACCAGTCCACACCCAAGAGGGCCGACAAAGGGTGGGGGCTCATCCTCTGAAGGATCGAGGGGACAAGACACCCTGGAGGCACAGGCCATGTGGGCCTGCCCAGCTCTGCCCCTACCAGGACCCAGCTCTGCCAGCAGACCGGGAACCTGCGGCCCCGGCTCCACTGGGCCAGGCAAAACATCACACCCACCCTCACCGGCCAGCCCGCACTGGCCCCCACTCACCTCCATTCCAGAATACAGCACCTCTCTCTGCCCAATCAATGCTTTTTCACAAATGTGGACTTTGACAGGAAACTGCCCTCCTCCCTTAACCTTGCTGTGTTTTCAGGTTTGCCCCTGGGCAAGAGAGTCTCCCCTCCTCCTGGACAGAGTGCAGGTGGCACACCTGAGGCAGGGAAGAAGCTGGCTGCATGGGGAGCCACACCTCCCAGGCAGGAGGCTGTGGCCTGGGGCTCCTGGGCCAGGGGTCCCAGAACCATTTTTTCCTCTTTTTTTTTTTTTTTTTTTTGAGACAGAGTCTTGCTGTGTCGCCCAGGCTGGAGTGCAGTGGCACTATCGTGGCTCACTGCAAGCTCTGCCTCCCGGGTTCACACCATTCTCCTGCCTCAGCCTCCCCAGTAGCTGGGACTACAGGCGCCCGCCACCACACCTGGCTAATTTTTTGTATTTTTAGTAGAGACGGAGTTTCACTGTGTTAGCCAGGATGGTCTCAATCTCCTGACCTGGTAAGTGCCTGCCTCGGCCTCCCAAAGTGCTGGGATTACAGGCGTGAGCTACCGACCCCGGCCCCTGGAGCCTCAGTCTCGGAATCACACCCACTCCACGGAAATTGCTCAGAACGACCTTTTCCCACTTCTGGGATTCCTGCAACTGTTTTTCACTGGAGTTAAACAGTTTCGTTTTATACCTCCCAGCCCAGGGCGTCTGTCACAGCTTTCCAATCCATGATCCCACGAATCGGACTGGACACGGATAAATTGGGACAGGGCGCCCAGTGGCAAAGGCCGGGACAGGTAGGCCACTCTCTCCAGAAGGTGCCTCTGACAGGGGCTGTGCAGGGCTGCAGGAGACACAGGAGGACCCCGCCTGGCCCCTTAGAGACAGGGTCTCCCGGACGGGAGATTTCTGTAGCCTCTCTTCCTCCTTCACACTTTGTTTAATCGGGAAATCGACCACTGCTGCCCTTCCACAGACAGGTCGGTGAGTACCGACAGGGAAGTGAATTGACAGGGAAAGGCCCTGCCCTCCCCCACCACGCTAGAGTGGCCATGCGAACCTGATGATGGCGCCCCAATGCAGGGACGCCCCTCTCCTGCCTGGGCCCTGATTGGCACGGCACCTGCAGTTCAAGCCCGGGGTCCCCATCCCTGCCGTGAGCTCGGCTCTCAGGTCAGACTGAAAAGGAATGGAGACATTGAGGCTTCGGACAGGTGTGCGGACCGGAGGCCCGGGGTCTCCCGATGCCCTTCCCAGCGTCCCCCTGCGCCTCGCCGGCGATCTGGGCATAGTGGCGGAGGGTCTCCCGCGCACATGGGAGGAGGACGGCTCAGCCTTCCAGCCCCCGGGCGTGCCACTGAGGCCTGCAGCGCAGCTGGGGCACCCGCAGAACGCCGGACCCGGAGGAAGGGCGAACACCGTGAGGCGCTGCGCTCGTGGCTTGCATGTGGCGTCCACGTTGAAACGAAGCAGGCTCGACGCTGGAAACTCGCTTCACCCACCCGCCCCTTCGCCATCCGCTGGCGGCGACTGCACGCCCAGAATCCCCCGTGCGCTTCCCACGCCTCTTGGACGGCCGCCCCGGAAGCGCGCTCGCCCTGGATGTCGCAGAACGAGCGGCGAGTGCCGGGCTGGGCCTGTGAACGTGGAGGAAATTGGAGCGGCGAGGTGGCTGGGACCGGCCCTCCCCCTGCGGGTCTCACCGCCACGGCGGCCCCAGGCTGGGCGCTGAGTACAGGGCCGGGTCGGGGCGGGGCTGGAAGTGCGCGGGACCCTGCGGGGCGGGGCTTGGCTTTGTGGGTGGTGCCCAGGGGCGGGGTGTGGGCGGGGCCTAGAAGGTGGAGCTGAGAGGGGCGGGGCACGGGAAGCGCCAGCGAGCGGGCAGGGCGGGAGCGCAGGGGGCAGAAAGACTGGCGGGGATTGAGGGGTGGGGCGTAGGGCTTTGAGAGGAAGGGCGGGGCTTGGGGGCGGGACGCGAGGAGCCCGGAGGGAGGAGCAGGGCTTGAGGGCGGGGCGTGGGAGGTGCGGGAGGAGGGTCCAGCAGAGGGACCCAGGCTGGAGAGTTTGTTCGGGTCTGAGGTGTTGTGAGCCGGAAGCGCGAGGAAACCTAAGGCAGGGGCTGGCTGAGGCTGCAGCTCACTGCTGATTTACCCCAGGACCCCGCTCCGGAGGGAGTCATGTAGTTTAGCACAAGTCCATCATCCGCTAGTCCCGAAAGCGCTGGGCGGTAGGAACCGGGGCAGTGAGAGAAATCCACCCAGCTGACGTCTGCGGGTTCTCCAGTTCCCAGGCGCTCGGCAGCGGGCGTGGCCCTCAGAGCAGGCCACCGGGCGTTGGGGGGGGCGTGGGAGGTGCCCGGGAGGAGGGTCCGGCAGAGGGACCCAGGCTGGAGAGTTTGTTCGGGTCTGAGGTGTTGTGAGCCGGAAGCGCGAGGAAACCTAAGGCAGGGGCTGGCTGAGGCTGCAGCTCACTGCTGATTTACCCCAGGACCCCGCTCCGGAGGGGTCGTAGCCAGTTTAGCACAAGTCCATCATCCGCTAGTCCCGAAAGCGCTGGGCAGTGGGGTCGGGGCAGTGAGAGGAAATCCACCCAGCTGACGTCCTGCGGTTCTCCGGTTCCCAGGCGCTCGGCGGCGGGCGTGGCCCTCAGAGCAGGCCACCGGGCGTTGGGGGTCCAGGCTGACTCCCGGAGCGACCGGGATCGCCGAGTCACGCCCCACGTGGCCTGGAGGCTTTTTCCTGGTCCTCCCAATCCTTCAGCCAAAGGCTCTCATTATGTGGAGAATGGAAGTCACTATTTGGGGCAACTGACTGTCCCCAGGGCACGTCCCAGAAGGGAGCAAATCCCTCCGAGGAGGCGCAGGGGATTCACAGGCAGCCTCTATGCGTACACCTCCATTCAGGATGTGCCAGGACGGCAGACCACAGGCAGCGCCAGAAACGGCTCGTGATGCTGGCAGGACAAACAGGCGGGCACCTGGGCCTGGGGACACCGGAGGGACACTGGCCGTACACGCGTGCTGCAGAGTTGGTGACCATGGGCAGTGCAGCCGCTGGGTTTGGCCTGTGAGGCCATCCTCGAGGTTCTCTGGAGGCCAGCAAGGGGCTTTCACAGCTGAGAGGTGTGTAGGGACCCAATATGGCAGGAGCTGGCCTCACCAGCTGCCCAGAGTGAGCTGGCTCTCCCAGGCTGGAGGGGCTGCCCCAGGGTGCTCAGACAGCCAGGCACTTACTTCACTCCCTGACCCCGACCCCCAGTGGGAGGTCAGTGGGTGCCACTAAGTCCTCCCCAACCCTGCCAGACGGCAGTGTACAAAAACCTGGGTTCACATCCAGCTTGGCTGCTCACTGTCATGACAAGTGGGCAGATGCCCTGGGCCTCAGTTGGCCCATCTGTAAGTGGGGCCAAGAGACAGCACCTCCGTCACAGGGCTGGGTGTGGGGTGAACAGGTTGGTCCCTGGAGACAAGTGGTGTGGTGCCCTGAGGCCTGAGGCCAGGCTCCAAGGCCGCTCAAGGAATAGGGGATTTGAGGCAGCTCAGAGAGGACAGGCCCAGCAGCCAGCCCCAGCCTGATATCTGCCCTCTGCTTAGGCCCCAGACGCAGCTGCATCTTGGAGTTGTTCTGAAAAATCTGGGACCTGCCCCACCTCCACCCAGGCAGGGGGCACCAGCCAGCTCCAGAGCTGCCCACCTTCCCTCACAGGCGCACAGGTCAGCGCCAGGCCAACCCCAGAGCGATAACACCTGTGTGGACTGTGCTTGAGCAGCGAGGTGGCCTGCACAGGTGAGGATGCCAGGAACAGTTAGTGCAGCTGTGCCCAGTCCTGGGCAGGGCAGCCATGGGAGGGCCCTGACTGCGGAGGGGTGTCCAGAGAGCCTGCCCCACTATGGAGAAGCCTGCGGGGAAGAAGGTGGCAGAAGGGAGGGCAGGGCTGGTCTTGGCGGCCACTGTCTGGCCAGTTCGGATCCTAGTCATGCCTTGGCTCCACCTAGGTTGCAGGCAAAGGACCTGTTCAGAGATTCTGCTGGACATCAGGCCACTGCTTCCAGCGGCCAGATAGCTTCCTGGGGCCTCAGGACTCTGGGCTGCCCTCTGGCCCCGGAGAAGGTTGCCAGGCCATGGGCAGGGAGAAAAGCAGAAGGGGGATGGGAGGGGGAGAAGAGTCTCAGCCAGTGTCCCTCTTGGATGCACAGCACTGTTGTTCAGTCACCAGCTGGCTGGGAGGACGGCTTCCACTGCAGGATGGACCCCAGGGAGGAGGATGGAGCTTCATGTCAGACATCCCTCACACCACAACGTTGGAAATTGCTCACCCAGAAATGGGGGTATATGGCACTTTGGGAGGCCAAGGCAGGAGGATTGCTTGAGGCCAGGAGTTTGATGAGACCATCCTGGACAATAGTGTAAGACCCTGTCTTTACAAAAATTAAAATTAGCCAGGACCCTGGTGCGGTGACTCATGCTTGTAATCCTAGCACTTTGGGAGGCCAAGGGAAGAGGAGCTCTTGAGCTCAGGAGTTCAAGACCAGCCTGGGCAACATGGCAAAATCCCATGCCATTGCTGCAAAACAAAACAAAACAAAACAAAAAATTAACCGTGGTGGCTTGTGCCTGTAGTCCCAGCTACGTGGGAGGCTGAAGTGGGAGGATTGCTTGAGCCAGGGAAGCAGCAGTTGCAGTGAGCCGAGATCGTGCCACTAGACTCTAGCTTGGGTAACAGAGGGAGACTGTCTCAATAAATAAAATAAAAATAAAGAGGTGTTGAGGATTGCTTGAACCCAGGAGGTGGAGGTTGCAGTGAATCAAGATTTCGCCACTGCATTGCAGCCTGGGCAACAGAATGAGACCCTGTCTCTAAAACAAAACCAAAAACAGAAATAGGGTTGTTGGTTGTCACTTAGCTGGGGCTCGTGGTGATGGGGTCCGGTGGCACGTTTGGAGGGCATAACTGGAAGGAACAGAGGCCACCTCCTCCTCGGGCACCTGGTAGGGGAGAGCAGCCCTAGGCCAAGGCCACACAGTGCGAGGGTTTGCAGGACAGTCAGTAGTCTGCACAGGGGCCTCCTGGAGCCTGGTTCTCCAGACAGACCCTGAGGGAGCACCCAGGGGAAAAGAGAAACAGAAAACCAGCCCATGTTTGGGCCATATCTTTCAGGCCACTTTCTGTTTTTCTCCTCCTTCTTCTTCTTCTTTTTTTTTTTTTTTTTTGAGTTGGAATTTCTCTCTGTCACCCAGGCTGGAGTGCAGTGGCACAATCTTGGCTCACTGCAACCTCCGCCTCTTGGGTTCAAGCAATTCTCCTGTTACAGCCTCCCAAGTAGCTGGGACTGCAGGCGTACACCACCACGCCTGGCTAAATTTTGTATTTTTAGTAGAGATGGGGTTTCACCATATTGGTTAGGCTGGTCTTGAACTCCTGGCCTCAGGTGATCCACCTGCCTTGGCCTTCCAAAGTACTGGGATTGCAGGCGTGAGCCACTGCGCCCAGACTCAGGTTCCTTTCTCTAAAAGTCAGCAATTCTACCAGATGAACAAACAAGACCTAAGCCCCCAGTGGTGACTTCTTGCTCCCTGCCCACGGGTGTCCCAGTCCTTCCAGGCTGTGCTTTCGAGCCTACAGAAGTCGCTCACCGTGCATGTCCCTGACCCTCTGGAGGATGTGCAGGGCCCAGGCCACCCACTGTCCTTATTTTCCGATGCAGGGGCAGCAAGGGAGGTGTCGGACGGAGCCACCCCACGGTTCCCCTGTGAAAGTCTGCACGTCACTCAGAAAGTTGAAGTAAACGAAGCAGGGCTGGAGCCCACAGTTCACAGCTGGCCAGGCTGCACAGGGGATGCGCCAAGGACAGTTTCCTACGACAAGTGGAAATCTGTGTGCTGCAGGCGAGCTGGGTCCTGGAAAGTGCAGGGACCAGCCAGCATCTCGGGACATCAAGGGCTGTCTCCACCAGCAGATTTCCCATAAAACGTGCTGAACTGGGGACAAAGCTGATTCTACAGAGCTGAGAATCCAGACCTTCCCTGGGGACTCCCAAGGGGGCCCTGGCCACCCTCTCCACCTGCAGAGGTTTCCTGGCCCAACAGCTCCTCCTCCGAGGGCCCCCTTCCAGCTCTCGGCCCATGGGGGAGCCCGTTCCTCAGCTCTGGGCTTGGCCGACAGGAGACCTAGGGCTCCCCGCACCCAGCTGGGCTCAGTGTTTTCTTTTTTCTTTTTTTTTTTTTTGAGACGGAGTCTCGCTCTGTCGCCCAGGCGGGAGTGCAGTGGCCGAATCTCAGCTCACTGCAAGCTCCGCCCCCCGGGTTCACGCCATTCTCCTGCCTCAGCCTCCCGAGTAGCTGGGACTACAGGCGCCCGCCACCTCGCCCGGCTAATTTTCTTGTATTTTTAGTAGAGATGGGGTTTCACTGTGTTAGCCAAGATGGTCTCGATCTCCTGACCTCGTGATCCGCCCGCCTCGGCCTCCCAAAGTGCTGGGATTACAGGCCTGAGCCACCGCGCCCGGCCCCAGGTAGTTTTTTTGTACTTTTTTAGTAGAGACGGGGTTTCACCGTGTTCGCCAGGATGGTCTCTTTCTCCTGACCTCGTGATCCGCCCGTCTCGGCCTCCCAAAGTGCTGGGATTACAGGCTTGAGCCACCGCGCCCGGCCTGGGCTCAGTGTTTTCAAGCTGAACTTGGTGTGAGGTGGCTTGGAAAGCTGGGAGCCTACTGTGCGTCTCCTGGGGCTGCTGTGAAAAAATGACCACACACCGGGAGCCTAAAACGATCGACATTTATCCTGTCACAGTTCAGGCAGCTGGAGTCCAAAGTCAGTGGTTGGGAGGGTGGCCTTCCCTCTAAAGGCTCTGGGCGGCTGCTTCCTGCCCCTTCCAGCTCTGGGCCCCTGGCATTCCCTGGCTTGCGGCTGTACCACCCCCAACCCCAAGCTTCCTTCCTGTGACTCTGTGTCCAAATTTTCCCTTCTTTTCTTTCTCTTTTTCTTTTGTTTTTTTTTTTTTCCGAGATGGAGTTTTGCTCTTGTCGCCCAGGCTGGAGTGCAACAGCATGATCTTGGCTCACCGCAACCTCCGCCTCCTGGGTTCAAGCAATTCTCCTGCCTTAGCCTCCTAAGTAGCTGGGATTACAAGCACCCACCACCCACACCCAGCTAATTTTATATTTTTAGTAGAGACGAAGTTTCATCATGTCTTTCAGGCTGGTCTTGAACTCCTGACCTCACATGATCCACCTGCCTCGGCCTCCCAAAGTGCTGAGATTACAGGCATGAGCCACAGCACCTGGCCCTGGCCAATTTTCCTTTTCTTTCTCTCTCTCTCTTTTTTTTTTTTTGAGATGGCGTCTTGCTCTGTTGCCCAGGCTGGAGTGCAGTGGCTCAATCTCAGCTTACTGCAACCTCTGCCTTCCGGGTTCAAGCGATTCTCCTGCCTCAGCTTCCCAAGTAACTGAGACTACAGGCACCCATCATCACACCCGGCTAATTTTTGTAGTTTTTAGTAGAGACGGGGTTTCACTATGTTGGCCAGGCTGGTCTTGAACTCCTGACCTCAAGTGGTCTGCCCACCTCGGCTTCCCAAAGTGCTGGGATTGCAGGCGTGAGATATTGCACCTGGCCAATTTTCCGTTTCTTACAAGAACACTGGTCACACTGCATTCAGAGCCAACCCTAACCCAGTATCGCCTCATCCTGATTTGATTCTGAGCGCAGACCTTGCTTCCGAGCGAGGCCACTTTCTCAGGTACTGGTGGACATGAATCTTCGGAGACACTGCTCAACCCACAGCACTCCCCCAGCTTGATTTCTGTGACTTGTTTTCCCCAGAGGAGGGGTGCCCTGAGAGGTCTCCACTCCCTGACCGGCTCCTTGGTGCCAAGCACTCTGCGAGGCTTCCCAGGGAACAGAGCACACAGGACCGCCCTCCTGGGAAGATCAACCAGCATCTGAGCTCACAATTTCCCAGCAGGGCAGTGGGGTGGAGAGAGAAGCCTGGGCTGGGCTGGGCTGGGGAAGCTTCTCTGGGGAGGGGACGTCAGAGCAGGGTCTGGGGCCGACAAAAGCCCGCCCCTGGCTGGGGGCTGAGGGGGCAGTGGGCTGAGCCTGACACATGGGGACAGAGGACAGGCTGGGGGAGGGTGTGAACAGGAGAGTGCTTGAAGGGGTGCTGGGGACTTTGAGAGAGGGCTGCTGGCCCTGTCTGGTGGGGAATGCTGGCCCAGAGACAGGCCATGGCTGGGGTGGGGTTCAGAAACAGGACCACTGTCTCCCGGGCCAGGGCCCTCCCCAGCTACTACTGGCTTTCCGGCTCTTGGGGTCGGGGGCGGGTCTGTGCCATGACCCCGCCACTGAGGCTGGGGGTGTCCAGGGGCACCAAGGCACACCCCTACTCTCACACCCATGTGTGGGCCCGAGCACCTGCTCTGCTGCCCCAAGGATCTGGTGATGTATCTGCCTGGCACTCCCGTATCCCGTAAATGCTACCACATCTGGCTACAGGCGGGCGTGTCTGCCTGGCATCCATGGGCCAGCAGGTGTGGCAGAGCACAGCCCGCTTCCTGGCTGTGTCGGAAGGCTGCCCGGGCCTTTTGGCTGTTGTTGCCAGCAGGCGAGCATTGCCAGGGCACTGTGCTTGGGCGCCAGGCTGTTTTGCCACGTGGGAAGGGGTGGAGACAGCCCAGTGCCTTCAGCATGTACCCAGGGTGCCTGCTGGTCACACGTCTCACTGGGAAATGGGGAGGGTGCACTGCCATCGGGCTGCTTAGGCCTGCCAGCCTCCGGGCCTGTCACTGCCATCTTAGCCTGATTTGCAGGGTGTCAGCGCTGGGCAGAGACGATCATCCAGGTGACTCTGAGGATGCCAGTGGCTGGGACACTTGTTCCTTCGTGGTGGAAAGAGTTGGAGAGGGCTGGCTCCCTGACCTGCGACCAGCAGACCTCACCGGGCCTCTGAAACCAGCTCAGTGGGCTGGGGCCTGATTCGTCATCCATAAATGCGTCCTTTTATGCCACAGAGGGTCAGGGGCCTCCTCGCCCACCGGTCTGCAGGTGAGGCAGTACGAGATGAGCGGCTCCGATGCCCCCGCCCACTTGAGCACCTTCGGCTCTGCCTGGGGTGCAAACTCCCACGGCTGAAACATTTTTTTGTAAACATGAATTTCGGCTTAGCAAAAACTCATTTCCACACTGCACGTGTCAGTCCCAACCAGAAATTATTTTCCAATAAAGCAAAACTCCCTGTCACCACAGCAGCAGCTGGCTCTGAAGAAGTGGAGCCTTTTCACCAGGCTCAACTTTGAAACTTCCACCAGCACCAGCACCAGCACCACTGTGTCTGCTGATAACTTGGGGACAGGCGGGACGAGGTGTGTTTGTTGGAGGCGAACACGCTTCCTTGTCTTGAGAGTCTTGAGTGGCCGGTCCCCTTCCAGGCCCTTGGCTGGCAGGCAGCTGTCGGGAGAGCTGTCAGGAGGGAGGGGATTGGGGGTCAGGCTTCCTGACAAGTGGAGGCACCCACCATGTGCCCAGAGCAGAGGTCACCCCAGTGCCTTTCTCTGTGGACTTATCCCTGGCTGTAGGTCACAGGGGCCTGCCGCACTGCCCCCTCCCCCGTGGTGACATGGGAGGAGGGGAAATTAATCCAGAGCAGCAGATAAACCAGAGGGGAAGAACCCCCAGGAGGACAACTGTGACATGTTGTGCTGCCTCTGCGTCCCCAAAGCACCAGGCCCAGAGGCCCTGCTTTCTGCCACATGGCACTGGCATGGGGCCCCGGCTCCTCTTCCCTGGTGGCCAAGGGTAAATGAGGCCCACTGGGGTGACTAAGACCAAAGGGGATGGGGGCCCCCCAGCTTCGGTGCTGCAGGCTGGGGCCAGGCTCAGCCAGCCCTGAGGTCCCCTGCAGGCTCGTGCCTCCTAGCCTTGGGGCCCCTGCAGCGAGAGCTTCCCAAGCAGCCTGTGCCAGCCAGGCAGCGCAGGTGTCCCGGGTCTGGGCCACTTGAGACGCCTCCCTGCTCCTGCTTTGCTCTGCCCCTCTTGGGCCCAGTGGCCAGGACACCTGCATGCGGGAGCCGGGAGGGGCCGGAAGGATGCTGAAGGCCCCAGCAAAGCTCTAGTGTTTGGCTTCCCAGGGGTGGGGGCTTGGTCCTCCCTCCCAGAAAGGCCCCTGTTCTGGAGCAGCAGCTGCACACAGGTGTCCCTCACATGGTCCTCCAGGACAGGGCAGGGGCCTGAGGTTCCCAGGCTCTGCCCAAGGGACCCAGGCAGGGAAGGAGATGAGTCCCAGGGGCTTGAAGCCCATCTGGAGGCCAGCCGGTCCTGCGGCAGGAGGGCACTGGACCATGTGGGGGCCGTAAAGGAGGAGGAGGCAGGAACCACCCCCGGGTCCAACAGTGGAACCCTGGGGTTGGGGAGCCAGAGCAGGGAAGGGAGAGGAAGGGGCAAGAACACACCCCCATCCCAGCATGGCCCAGAGAGCTGAGCAAATAAATACTTGTCTTCAAGGGCCTTTCTCTTGTCTTTTTTTTTGTTTTTCGAAATAGAGTCTTGCCGTGTCACCCAGGCTGGAGTGCAGTGGTGTGATCTTGGCTCACCACAACCTTTGCCTCCTAGGCTCAAGTGATTTTCGTGCCTCAGCCATCCAAGTAGCTGGGATTACAGGCCTGCGCCACCACACCAGGCTACTTTTTGTATTTTTAGTAGAGATGGGGTTTCTCCATGTTGGCCAGGCTGGTCTCGAACTCCTGGCCCTCAAGTGATCCTCCCGCCTTGGCCTCCCACAGTGCTGGGATGGCAGGCTTGAGCCACCACACCTGGCTTTTTTTTTTTTTTTTTTTTTTGAGATGGGGTCTGTAGTGGCATGATCTTGGCTCACTGCAGCCTCCACCTCCCTGGGCTCAGGTGATCTTCCCACCTTAGCCCCCCAAGTAGGTGGGACCACAGGCACATGCCACCATGCCCAGCTAATTTTTTTATTTATAGAGACAAGGTCTTGCCATGTTGCCCAGGCTGGTCTCAAACTCCTGGGCTCAAGCAATCTGCCTGCTTGGGCCTCTCCAAGTCCTAGGATTACAGGCATGAACCACTGGGCCCCTGAGACCACACTGCCTGCAGCAGCTCCCCCAGGCCCCCTCCTCACACCCGGGCAGCACTCAGCACTACATCTCCATTTGCTCACTCAAGTCGCAGGGCCTGGGGGTTAGTGCCTCCGTCTTGTTTTGCTGGGGGCCTCCAGCATCTGGAACAGGAACGTGTGCTGAAGAAAACCACTCATGCAGGGAGAGGGGCACCTCCCCACTCTAGGTCCTGCTGCTGACCCCTTCCCCGAACACCAACCCATGGCCTCCAGGCCAGGGCCACATGAAGGACGGTGGGCCACTCTGGTGGCCTGGGTTCAGGGCGGGGCCCCACAGCTGAGTTCTGGAGGGAGGGCACAGACGACTGGGGGCTGGGAGGGGCCAGGTGAGGGGTGGCAACAGCGAGGGAGCCCTGCAGGAGGGTTGCCCAGCATGGCCCCAAAGCTGCTGGGGCAGGGCACGGCTGAAACTGCCAAGGAGTCCCAGAGCCCTGAGTGGCATCTAGCGAGGGCCCCTGACCCTGATCCCTGTAGACCCCAGCCCTTCCATGAGGGTGGCAGCCACTCCAGGGCCCAGCAGGGCCGAGGGAGAGGCAAGTGGTCTGGGCCCATGAGGCACTGGGCACAACCAGGTGTGGCACGAGGGTGCCTGGGCGTCTGCTGCCACCACGTGGCGGACTTTGAGGTCGCAGAGCCCAGGGTCCAGGCAGGAAAGCCCCTCAGCTGCCCCCAGGGCCCTGGCCCAGGCCCCTGAGGCCCAAGTGAGCCACCTGGACTTTGTCACTTCGCTTCTTGTTTCTTGGTTAAGGAGCTTGAGTTCTACGCTTTTTGTAAAGAAACGGTGGCGGCGACGGCGGATTTCAAGCTTTATTTACTCCTGGAGTGGTCCTGGGAGGAGAGGCGGCTCCTCAGAGCCGGAAACGGGGGCGGGAGCTGTTGGGTGCAGCCGGGAGGAGGCAGGGCCGGGCCGGGGCGGGCCGGGGCGGGGCGGGCAGCCATCGGGGTAACGGAGGGGGCTCCGGCCGGGGCTGCCTGGACGGGAAAGGGGACACGGGCGGGGCTCCCCCAGCTGACCTCCCGCCCCACATGCCTGGGCCCCCCACCCTCACGCCAGGCCCCCCTCTGCGGTGCAGGACGAAGGAACCCTGGCCTCAGTTTCCCCACAGGCTGGGATCAGGGCCCCTGGGGTTCCGACTGGCTCGGAGGGGGCGGCCTCACTGCAGCGGTCTGGAGGCGGGGCCGGGGCGGGGGCGGGGCCTGGGGCGGGGGCGGGGCCGCGCTCACTTCCGCCCGGCGCGCTGGCTCTGATGGAAGCGGCGCGGAGGCCGCGGCTGGGGCTGAGCCGCCGGAGGCCGCCCCCAGCGGGCGGGTGAGGCCGAGGGCCGGGCGGGGGCGCGGCCGGTGTTCCCGCTGCCACGTGCTTCCCGGCGCCCCCGCGGGCCTCCCGCTCTCTTCTCCCCCTGGGGAGGGCTTCCCGCCCCCGGGCCTACCCCCCACGCCCGTCGCCCCACCCCGCGCCGCCATTCAGCGCCCGCCTTGAGCCCCCCACCCCACGCCGAGCTTCCCCCGAGCTTCCCTCGCGCCGCCCCAGGCCCTCCCGCGCCTCTCCCATCATCGCGTCTCCCCTGAGCACCCCTCATCTGCCCACTCTATCTTCCGCAGGCCCTCCGCAATCTCCCCAACCATCGCCTCATCCCGCTGAGGACCCCACATTTTCACCCACCCCCCCGCCCCCAGTACCCCTTGTCTCCCCACTGTCTGCCCCAGCAGCCCTTCCCCCAACCCTGCCCGCCACGTCCCCCACCATCGAATTTCCCTCTGGTACCCCCCATCTCCCCGCTGTCTCTGCCCCAGGCCCTCCCGGGTGTCCCCCACCATAGCGTTTCCCCGGCTGAGTACCCCGTCTCCTTTTTCTGTCCGCCCCAGGCCTTCTGGCGGCCGCCCCTGGTTTCTCCTGGGGGGTGATGAGCGGGAGCGGCTCTGGGCCGAGCTGCTGCGCACGGTGAGCCCAGAGCTCACCCTGGACCACGAGGTGCCTCCACTGCCCGCCTTCCCTGGACAGGTGTGCCCACCGGGCCCATCGCAGCGGGGGAGGGGTTTCCAGGGCGAGAGCCGCCGCTGGGCGAGGCCCAACAACTCCATGTTGCAGGAGCCCAGGTGTGGCCCGGAGCCCACTGAAGTCTTCACTGTCGGACCCAAGACCTTTTCCTGGACGCCCTTTCCGCCAGACCTGTGGAGCCCGGGCCGCTCCTACCGGCTGCTTCGCGGGGCAGGAGGGCATCTGGAGTCCCCCGCCAGGTCCCTGCCCCAGCGCCCGGCACCTGATCCCTGCGGGGCCCCCAGGGTGGAGCAGCAGCCGTCCGTGGAGGGTACCGCCCTGCACCGCTGCCCCATGTGCCAGAAAGAGTTCGGCCCCAGGTGAGTGGGCCGCCCTGTGCCCCGCCCGGTTATCCATCAGTGTTTGGAAACCACAGCCGTTCAGAAGGTCAAGAGGTGGCCGAGCTCAGCGCTGGCTTTTAAAGCCCTGTTTCACACGTGGAAACGTGGCCCAGTGCTGTGGCCTGGCATGTCCGGGTGGCTGGCTATCACGGGTCTGGGGTCCCCCTGCTTTCCGTGCTCTGGGGGCAGGGCAGGCTGGGGGCCCACAGCGCAGAAGGAAGGCTGGGGAGCACTGGCCCCGGGTCCACCTGGCCATCTTGGAAGCTGGTGGCACCAGCGTGCCCAGGCCCAGAGCACGGAAACACCTTCCCGAGAGTGGGCCATGGGTTTTAAAAATGAAGATCATCTTTTTTGTCTGGAGATGCTTTTTCTTATTTTTGAAGCCCACTGTATACTTATATATATATTTTTAAGTAAAGGGGAATGGAACCCAGTTTTACTAAGAAGATAACCCAAACTGCCCAGTGCCAGGGCTCGTGTCTGGCGACCTCGGGGCCCTTGGCCTCCTGAGCAGGCACCTGGGGCCGGCGCCGTGTGAATGATGCTGGTTGGTAACTTTTGGTTGAGTTAATGGGCGGCAGGTTTCAGATCTCACGTGGCCAGGAGACCGGGTCCTTCAGTCATGCCTGATGCCCCTGGTCTTCTAGAAGCCAAAACAGCTCAGGAATGTGAAGGGACCAGAGTCCAAAGTTAGCAGCCAACAATAACAACAACAACAAAAGAAAAGGCCAGGCGTGGTGGCTCAAGCCTGTAATCCTAGCTCTTTGGGAGGCTGAGGCGGGCAGATCACGAGGTCAGGAGTTTGAGACCAGGAGTTTGAGGTCAATATGGTGAAACCCCATCTCTACTAAAAAGATAAAAATTTAGCCAGGCATGGTGGTGGGTGCCTGTAGTCCCAGCTACTTGGGAGGTTAGGAGAATCGCTTGAACCCGGGAGGCGGAGGTTGCAGTGAGCCGAGATCGTGCCACTGCACTCCTAGCCTGGGTGACAGAAAGTGAGACTCTGTCTCAAAAAAAAAAAAAAAAAAAAAAAAGGCCAGGCACGGTGGCTCAAGCCTGTAATCCCAGCACTTTGGGAGGCTGAGATGGAAGTGGATGCGAGTCAGAGATATAGTGTCTGGCTAACTTTTGGTGAAACCCCGTCTCTACTAAAAATGCAAAAGAATGAGCCAGAAGCGAGGTGGCAGGGCGCCTGTAGTCCCAGCTACCTGGAGGCTGAGGCAGGAGAAAATAGCGTGAGCCGAGGGCGGAGCTTGCAGTGGCTGAGATCCGGCCACTGCACTCCAGCCTGGGCGACAGAGCGAGACTCCGTCTCAAAAAAAAAAAAAAAAAAAAGCACAAAGCAATGACTGAATTAGTTATCAACTCAAGCCTGTAATCCCAGCACTTTGGGAGGCTGAGATGGGTGGATCGCGAGGTCAAGAGATCTAGACCATCCTGGCTAACACAGTGAAACCCCGTCTCTACTAAAAAATACAAAAAATGAGCCAGGCGAGGTGGCAGGCGCCTGTAGTCCCAGCTACCTGGGAGGCTGAGGCAGGAGAATGGCGTGAACCCGAGAGGCGGAGCTTGCAGTGAGCTGAGATCCGGCCACTGCACTCCAGCCTGGGCGACAGAGCGAGACTCCGTCTCAAAAAAAAAAAAAAAAAAGCACAAAACGACTGAATTAGTTATCAAAACCTGCAGCAGAAAACCTGTACAGGCAGTTCTTTAGGCGAGCCAGTACCCATCCAGAGAGAAGAAATGCCCTGGAAACAGGCTCCTCCAAAACGGGGCACTTTATGGAAGCAAGCCCTTCAGGGCCTGAGGTTGGGGTGAACCCCACGGCACCCCCAGCACCCCACCTCCACGTCACACATGGACAGCACAGGGAGGGGCCTGGTGACACATACGTGGGGCTTGGTGGGTGAGCAGTGCAAGGGCCAGGGCCCAAGGCAAAGTGCCCCCGCCCTCCTTTCAGTGCCCAGAGCCTGCAGTAGGACCAGAGCGTTTCTCAAAATCATATCCAGGCCCAGCCGTCACTGCACACGCCTCTTCCTCGGGTTGGCGCTTTGTGACTGTCGTAAACTACAGTGCTGTCCCACACGCTGATTCTGCTGAGGCAGGGGATTTTTTAATTGTGAAGACTTCTTGATTCCTGCCCATCAAAAGAAATCCCGGGGGCTGGGCATGCTGGCTCACACCTGTAATCCCAGCACTTTGGGAGGTTGAGGCAGGTGGGTTGCTGGAGCCCAGGAGTTTGAGACCAGCCTGGGCAACATAGCACGATCCCATCTCTAGATGCCTGGGCGTAGTGGCACCTGTGCCTGTGGTCCCAGCTCCTCTGGAGGCTGAAGTGGGAGGATTCCCTTGAGCCAGGAATTGGAGGCTGCAGTGAACTATGATTGCACCACTGCACTCCCGCCTGGGCGACAGAGTGAGATCCTGAATCTAAAAAAAAAAAAGAAAAAGTCCACAGATGGAAGGTGCCGTTGGGAGCCCTGGTAGAAATCCACGTTCTTGGCTGAAGCTCAGAGAGCCTTGTTGCCATCAGGGCGCTGCCCCCTGCCCCCCGGGTAGGCGCTTTTGTCTTTGGATCGCCTGCTTTTCCAGATCATCTAAAAAAAGACTCCTGAAGACGAGGACATTCACGAGGAAAGAGTTGCCGTTTTGAGCTTTTTAAGCAGTTGCTGAGAGCTTGGCAGACTGCCTCGGTTTTTCCTAAGTAGGCGTCAGTGAAGTCAGGTCCAGGCCTTGGTGTGTCTGGAATGCTTCAAGCACATTCGAACACTTGATTGTAAGGGAGAGCCAGTACTTTGGAACGGAACTCACCCGAGGCTGTGGCCATGGCATGGGCAGGCTAGCTGGGAGACAAGCCCCGTGTCTTTGGGAACAAGGGTTTGCACGGCCACCCTGGGATACCCTGGGACTCATGACCGGACAGGACCCCAGCAGGGAGGCCGCCTGGCTTGGAGGGTCTGGTCTAACAGCCGGACTTGGCTTTGAACCGTCGCCCTGTGCCGCACAGACGCCTGCTGAGCCCGGAGCCCTGGCGGCAGTGGGTCTGAGGAGTGGAGCTGCCGGCAGGCCTCCCATTTCTCGCGTCCTTGGTGTTCTCCGGGTCACCCAGAGAACTGTCAAATGCTGGATTTGACAAACTATGTAAAACGTTCTTTGTGTCTTTAAGGTCCTCTCGTGGTCCTATTTGGACATTTTGTGCATTTTCAGACACCTGCGGGTCACGTGGGTGGATGGGAAGCTGGGCACCTGGTGAGGGTGCTGAGAGCTGGAGCTGTTTTGTCTCTGTGGATGCGGTGAGGCCCTGGGTTGGTCATCGGGGTTGGTTGGTTGGTTGGTTTTTGAGAAGGAGTCTTGCTCTATCACCCAGGCTGGAGTGCAGTGTGCAATGGCATGATCTTGGCTCATTGCAACATCTGCCTCCTGGGTTCAAGCGATTCTCCTCCTGCCTCAGTCTCCTGAGTAGCCGGGATTACAGGCGCCACCACGCCTGGCTAATTTTTGTATTTTTAGTAGAGATGGGGTTTCACCATGTTGGTCAGGCTGGTCTTGAACTGACCTCAGGTGATCCGCCCGCCTCGGCCTCCCAAAGTGCTGGGATTACAGGTGTGAGCCACCACGCCCGGCCGGTCGTTGGGATTTTAACAGCCCAGAGGCCCTTCACACTGCCAGGTGCCAGCTCACCCAGCAGCCCTGCTCCCCGGCCCACACGCAGAAGCCACCAGAGGCTTCTAGGCTGAGCCCCCGCTGTCCTGCAGTCGGGTTGGCCCCTCCACACTGCAGGGCCTGGATGTGTCTGCTCAGTAGCTGAAGCCTCACAGACAGGGCAGATGAGGCCGGGACAAAGCTCTTCCGCTGCAGGCAGGGGTCTGAAGGCATCTCAGAGGGCCCCCACCCAAGGGACACTCCCTGGAAACCCTGGGACAAGATGACCTCGGTTCAGATCTTAGGACCTTCTGGCAGCCTTAGAGAAAGCTTGTGGAGGGAGGGGCTGGTTCCCAGGATGGGCAGAAGCCGGAAAGTCTCAGACTGAGGGACCCTCGGGGGCTTCAGAAGGCACTGGGTGGCTCTGCCAGAGAGAGAAGGTAGCTGATGGCCGCTGGAGCCGGCCCCGGGAGTGGGGGTCCAGCTATGGTCTGGAGAGGGGGACTTGAGGGTTGCAGTGTCCATACAGATGGGGCACAGGAGCCACAGGAAGGGACACGGCAGAGCCCAAGGGCAAAGCGGCGCTCCGTGGACTGGTCTGAGGGCAGAGGCTGTTGGGGAGCGAGGGCGGTGTGGCTGACAGGTGGACACAGGGACATGTTTCTGTGGACTTGGCCGCTCGGTGGGGGTGTATCCCCCAGCAGTGGTGTGTGAGGGATGGTCACTCTGATGGGACACTGGCCACTTGGCCTCCAGCAAGATCTAGGCCCAAGTCTAGGTTGAAGCCACCCCCTCAGCCCCGGGACGTGGTCCCCGGTGGCTCTGCTGAGCACGCCAGCTATGGCACCCTCGGGGGGTCATGGCCAGAAGTCGACTGTCCTGGCTTCCAGGGCCACACCTTGGCCAGGCCGCGTGATGGCCGTTTCCGGCCGCTCCAGTTAGGCTGAGGGGGCCATGAGTGAGTGTGGCTCCTCCCTTGCAGGCTGACACAGCTGGATGTTGACAGCCACCTGGCCCAGTGCTTGGCGGAAAGCACAGAAGACCTGATGTGGTGAGCACCATCCAGGAAGCCCTGCGCAGTGTGCGGCGCCCGGATGCGCCCTCCCCCTGCAGAAGCCCCTCCTCTCAGCTCTCCAGCTTGTGCATTAAAGCAGGGCGGGCGCCTGTCTCTGTCTCTCTTCGTGTTGTGATGGAACATCTGTGTTTTTCTTTCTGACGTTTGGTTTAGGGCAGATTCACTGCAGTGAAATCAGAACCGGACACAGCCCCGGGCGGGTAAGCTGACCCCTTTCACCTGGCGCCCCGCTGTGGACAGCGGACGGGCTGAGGGCCGCTCGCTTTCCTAACTTTGTGGACAGGCTTGGTTTGCTCACGTGCAGTCACGGTTTTGTCTTTTTTTTGAGACAGGGTCTCGCTCTGTTGCCCAGGCTGGAGTGCAGTGGTGCAGTCACGCACGGCTCATTGCAGCCTCAGACTCCTGGGCTTGATGATCGTCCCACCTCAGCCTCCTGAGTAGCTGGGACTACAGGTGCGTGTCACCACACACAGCTACTTTTAGTACTTTTTGTACAGATGGAGGGGTCTTGCCATGTTGCCTAGGTTGGTCTTGAACTCCTGGGCCTGAGCAATCCTCCCGCCTTGGCTTCCTGAAGTGCTGGGATTACAGGCGTGAGCCACCGGCCCCAGCCTCTGGTTGCGTTTTTTGTTGTTGTTGTTTTTGAGACAGAGTCTCTGTCACCCAGGCTGGAGTGCAGTGGTGTGGTCTCGGCTCACTGCAAGCTCCGCCTCCCAGGTTCACGCCATTCTCCTGCCTCAGCCTCCCGAGTAGCTGGGACTACAGGCACCTGCCACTATGCCCAGCTAATTTTTTTGTATTTCACTGTGTTAGCCAGGATGGTCTCGGTCTCCTGATCTCGTGATCTGCCCGCTTCGGCCTCCCTAAGTGCTGGGATTACAGGTGTGAGCCACCGTGCCCGGCCTTTATTTATTTATTTATTTATTTATTTATTTATTTGAGATGGAGTCTCACTCTGTCATCCAGGCTGGAGTGCAGTGGCACAATCTCAGCTCACTGCAACCTCCGCCTCCTGGTTTCAAGTGATTCTCCTGCCTCAGCCTCCTGAGTAGCTGGGATTATGGGCATGTGCCACCACGCCTGGCTAATTTTGTGTGTTTTCAGTGGAGACAGAGTTTCACTGTGTTAGCCAGGATGGTCTCAATCCCCTAACCTTGTGATCTGTCCACCTCGGCCTCCCAAAGTGCTGGGATTACAGGCGTGAGCCCGTGCCCTGCCATCGGTCGTGTTTTAATTCCCCAAAATGAACTTGCAGCTGCAGCTAGTCATGAAAAAGGAAGGCTCCTGCCACCACGTGCTGCGGGCTGTGGGCCTGGAACTCCTCAACCCCTAGGTTGAAATTCTCACCACAAGGCGAGGCCTCTGCCAGGCCAGGAGGTCGGGCCAGCACCTCTTGATGGGATTAGTGCCCCGTAATGGAGACCCCGGGGAGTCCCTTGCTCCTTCCACTGTGTGGGACACAGGCCAGAAGAGGGCCCTCCTCTGGAGTCAAGGAGTCTGGCTGAAGCCCCGGGTCTGTGGTCACTTGTTAGGGCTGTGGGAGCGGAGACTCCCTGTGGTGTGGGGCTCCAGGGCCTCATCACCCGCCAGGGCTTTGAGGAGTTTCTGAGGAAGGGCAGCAGCAGTGGGCATCTGGTTCACCCAGACCTGTCAGCCACTGTCTTTGCGGGCTCACGGTGCGAGTGGAGCAGCGTCTTCAGGGAGCTTCCTGTCCGCTGCTGTTCAGCCCCCAGGTTCTGGAAAGCCGCGCTCTGCGGGCTCAGCCCTGACCCGTCTGTGGCGGCCGAGGGAACAGACCTGGGGGCAGACGTGGTGTGAAAATGAAAGATGAACACCCAGATGTCTGTATTTTCCTTTCAATGATGGCTACAGATAGAATGCGAAAAAGATGGAGCCATAAATGCAGATCACTAAGGGAAAGAAAACACGACTCTGTGATTCCAACCCTAGAATGTCCTGGAAAAGGCAACACCGTGAGGACCTAAAACATCAGGGGGTGCAGGCGCTAGGAAGGCACAGGCGGAGCCCAGGTCATCTCCGGGGCGAGGACTTCCCTGCATGGCCCCACAGTGGTGAATCCAGTCACGCGCCTGTCCACCCCCACGGGACTGACAGCCTCTGGCGAGCTCGGCGGGAACTCTGGGCGTGGGGTGATGACGAGGGCAGGCCCAGCAGCTGTCAGCAGCGTGCCCTGTGGTGGGCAGGGCATGGGGACTCTGTGCTGCACCTTCTGCTCATTTTGCTGGGAGCCCAAAACGGCCCTGATATAGGCCTACTTAAGAAAATGGCTTCATGCCGGGCTCGGTGGCTCACGCCTGTAATCCTAGAACTTTGGAAGGCCGAGGCAGGCGGGATCACCTGAGGTCAGGAGCTCGAGACCAGCCTGGCAAACATGGAGAAACTAAAAATACAAAAATTAGCCGGGTGTGGGGCAGATGCCTGTAATCCCAGCTACTGCAGAGGCTGAGGCAGGAGAATCGCTTAAATCTGGGAGGTGGAGGTTGCAGTGAGCTGAGATCTCGCGACTGCACTCCAGCCTGGGCGAGACTCTGTCTCAAAAAAAAAAAAAGGAAAGAAAATGGCTTGAGAAACCTTTGCTTCTTGGAAACACCTACTTTTTTTTTTTTTTTTTTTGAGACGGAGTCTTGCTCTCTAGCCCAGGCTGGAGTGCAGTGATGCAGTCTTGGCTCACTGCAAGCTCCACCTCCCAGGTTCACGCCATTCTCCTGCCTCAGCCTCCCGAGTAGCTGGGACTACAGGCGCCTGCCCCTATGCCTGGCTAATTTATTTATTTATTTTTGTATTTTTAGTAGAGACGGGGTTTCACCCCGTTAGCCAGGATGGTCTCAATCTTCTGACTTCGTAATCCACCTGCCCCAGCCTCCCAAAGTGCTGGGATCACAGGCACGAGCCACTGCGCACGGCCCAAAACACCTACTTTTAATGATAATAATGATGTAAGCATTTTCATTAAAGTCTTTAATGGATGTATAAGACTTTGAAAAGGCCGGGCGCGGTGGCTCACGCCTGTAATCCCAGCACTTTGGGAGGCCGAGGCGGGCGGATCACAAGGTCAGGAGATCGAGACCATGGTGAAACCCCGTCTCTACTAAAAATAGAAAAAAAAATTAGCCGGGCGCAGTGGCGGGCGCCTGTAGTCCCAGCTACTTGGGAGGCTGAGGCAGGAGAATGGCATGAACCCGGGAGGCGGAGCTTGCAGTGAGCCGAGATTGCGCCACTGCACTCCAGCCTGGGCGACAAAGCGAGACTCCGTCTCAAAAAAAAAAAAAAAAAAGACTTTGAATGACCCTGGCCGTTGAGGGTGTCATCCATGGGAGAGCCGGTCAGCCACGGGCTCCATGGGCAGCTGCCCCACATCGCGCCCACGCAGGCCCACCGTGCAGCCCCCAAGTCACCAGAGTTCAGGAACCACTTCCAAAAGACACACCGTTGTGACCGGAGCCATTGGCAAATATCAGGATTTTTCAAAGCACACTTCAATACATCCTTCACTTTAATTTATAAAACAAATGACGGAATAGAAAAGTCTCCCCTCTGATGACCACAGCGTTACTCACATTGTGTAGAAGAACAGCCAGACTGGTAACTGGCACGCTGTTGGCAACACGGCAGTATTTAGGTCAGTGCCTTAAATATTTAACACATCAAGGAGGCTCATGGAAAGCAGTTGGCTTGTTAACCACTTCCGGGATACACTGGGGGTCTCCCACTCAAGGTGGGGTCCCAGCAGCCCCGCTCCCCCGGCAGGTGTGACTTCAGCGGCTGCAGGCTGTGCCCCGCTACCTGGACATCCCCATGCTGGTCTGGGACACCTGCGTGAGACCCAGGTCGGCTCCTGGACCCTGCCCTGGGGCTTCTAACTTTCTTTTTTTTTTTTTTTTTTGAGACGGAGTTTCGCTCTCTCGCCCAGGCTGGAGTGCAGTGGCCGGATCTCAGCTCACTGCAAGCTCCGCCTCCCGGGTTTACGCCATTCTCCCGCCTCAGCCTCCCGAGTAGCTGGGACTACAGGCGCCCGCCACCTCGCCCGGCTAGTTTTTTGTATTTTTTTTTAATAGAGACGGGGTTTCACCGTGTTAGCCAGAATGGTCTCGATCTCCTGACCTCGTGATCTGCCCGTCTCGGCCTCCCAAAGTGCTGGGATTACAGGCTTGAGCCACCGCGCCCGGCCACTTCTAACTTTCTGTCTTTGGAGGGGAGTCTCACTGGCTAAGGTTGGGAGTGTGGCTGGAACCCATCTCCACATTCCACCCAGAAGCCTGAGCTGGGGGAGGGGCGGGGTATGCAGGGCCAGGGGCTGGCAGTGTGCCCAGCGCTGTTCTTGTCCCAGCACCTGGGGCTCGGGTGTGAATCCACCACGTCGTGCTCAGCACCAGGCACGGAGTGGCACCCTGAGAAACCTGAGTGTAGGGTGGGCCACGCTCACCTGGTGGGTATGACCTTGAGGCAAGGCGAGGCGTGGCGCGAACCTCCTAACTTGAAGTTTTCCTTATCTCCTCCCGAAGCCACCAGCCGCACGGTGGGGTGGAGCGGCCCCTGAGTCATGGAGGCCTGGGGTCTCCGCCTGGCCAAGAGGGCTGCGTGGCAATTTCCACACCTGTGCACCAGGCCCCACTCAGAGGCAGGAGGTGGTGCGACCCCCTCTCCAGAGAGCTCAGAAGACGGCTCCGCCACACCTGACACCTGGCAGCCGCAGACCTGCCTCTAGGAAGCTTGGCTCTGGGCAGCTGTCCCTTCACCGGAGGGGTGGGGGGACGGACAGCGCGGGCGTGTCCCGGGAGCAGGAGGGAGTGGAAGGTCTGCGCTGCTGGGAGGAGTGCCTGTGTTTCTGGATGTCTGTAGGGTCCTCATTTTTAACTTTAAGGCTGGGGTCCGTCACACACACAACTGTTAGTTTTCCCGAACTCTCAGTACTGTGTGACAGGTAAGAATATTTTCCAAAAATCAAACGCGTCGCACGAGGGATCGTGCAGGCAGTGCTTAGTGTGGTCAGAAATGGATTTGTGCAGATTTAGTTTTCAATTTTCTTTTTCTCTTTTTTGGTCTACTGTGCTTTGGTGAGCCACATTTTAGAATCGCTATGATCCAATTTCCCCCATCGGTCCAGTGAGCTGGCTGGCCCAGCTGCCACCTGCTTAAGGTGTCACTTTACCCTAGACCACAGCGGCTGGGCACACGCTCTGCAGGAACCACCACAGGAACTTACCGGGCTTTAGGAAACGGTGCGAGTTTGTACACTTCTTTTTTTTTTTTTTTTTTTTTTTTTGAGGGGGGGTCTCGCTCTGTCGCCCAGGCTGGAGTGCAGTGGCCGGATCTCAGCTCACTGCAAGCTCCGCCTCCCGGGTTCACGCCATTCTCCTGCCTCAGCCTCCCGAGTAGCTGGGACTACAGGCGCCCGCCACCTCGCCCGGCTAGATTTTTGTATTTTTTTAGTAGAGACGGGGTTTCACCGGGTTAGCCAGGATGGTCTTGATCTCCTGACCTCGTGATCCGCCCGTCTCGGCCTCCCAAAGTGCTGGGATTACAGGCTTGAGCCACCGCGCCCGGCCGAGTTTGTACACTTCTTGATTGCGTGCGTCCCCACAGGCACTTACACTCCCGCCCCCACCTGTGTCCTGCCGGCTCCTAACCTGCCCCCCTCCATGTGGCTGCATCGGAGACGTGGGGCAGGCGCCACTCACGGAAAAAAGGCATCAGAGGGGCTTCCACATCATCGGAACTTTTATTCCTCAGGACGCTACACGCTCCCTTTCCTGGCGGGGCAGGTCAGTGCATCGAGTTCTGTTTCCGTGGAAAATGTGCACCTTGGAAACTGCGTGACAGCCCCACAGCAGGGTCCCCGCGGCCACCGCGATGCAGGCTCAGCAGCAAGTTCCTCCAGCACGAAGCTGGCCTGCCCGGGCCCAGGTGTGAGGGACTGTTCTGCTCCCAGCAGTGCCTGCCGACGCTTCCCTCCGCGGTCTCAGCGCAAGCGTCTGTCCCTGGCTGCCCTCGGAGCCGTGCCCAGCCTGGCATGCATATGCGGTGGTTAAGGATACAGTTAAAGGGTCAATCACGCATGTCCACGACAGAGACGCAGCGGCCTCACACCGACTCCTCGGTGGACAGCAGTAATGGGTTGATGTACTCGAAGCCTTCGAACTCCGACTGGTCGATCCTCTTTATGGCATCCCTGTGGGCAAAGGCGGCAGGGGGCGGGGGGGATGACCTGTGTTCATTCCCTCTGGGGAGGGGAGTCACATTCGCAGAAGAATCCTCCCCCAACGCCCACCGGAGAGAGGACACCAGGCGGGCGGGACTCAAGGGCAGGCCGGGTCACCAGCCGCCCAAGGTGCCGGCCTGCCATGGGGCTGCCCGGGGGGGTGCTCCGGGGTTCCCGCACCCAGTGGGACTTACTCATCGTCTGGGGTCAGCTGCACGGGCTCGCTGGTGAACTGTGTGTCAAAGTTGTCCAGACCGTAGTCGTCTGTGATCTGTGGCTGGAATGGAGGGAGCGCCTGCTTCTTCTCCAGCTTGCAAAAACAAGGCAAAAAGGGCCAGCTCCGCGCGGGCATCATCCCTACCAGACTGAGTGTTCTGCATGCAGTTGAATCCCAGAATGAGACACTAAGAAACTCAGCGTTTCAATCTGCCTAGTGTTTGAATGCCAAGTGTTTCTTCTTAACAACACAAAATCTAGAAAATCTCCAAAGTCAGAAAAATTGTTGTCGAGCTGCGAGGAACGCCGCAAGTGTGGGCCACGCTGGCCACATGTGGGATGGAGCGGGACCCCCGGCCACCCTTGTGAGGCCACCCCCTTCCTGGGGGTCCTTGTTGAGAGGGGCACCAATGCTAACTGGCTGAACAAGCCATCTCATGACGTCTTGGAACCCTGACCATAAAGGCGCAGGACCTGGCCACAGCACCCTGCCTGCACTGGTACCGCACGATCCATCTGTCAGGAGCCTCCTGCCGGCCCATTTCTGCCTATCCAGGCATCGACTTCAGAATCTCAGGTGTTGCTTGGCAGGAAAATGCCCAGCAGGTGGGCCTGGGCCTCGGCTCAAGGCTCACTTCTGGCCACTGCGTACTGGGCCTTGGTGATGCACCTGTGCCAGGGAGGGCAGAATGCTGGTGCCTGGCACAGGTGCCACAACACACACAGGTGAGGACAACGAAAGCCCCTCAGTTCCCCTGACTCATGGCCACTTGTCCCAGTGACACAGCTATGCTCTCTCACCCACCCACAATAGGGTCTGAATGTGCCCCCCAGATTCACGGTGAGAAACTCATTCCCCAGAGCAACAGTGTAGGAGGTGGGGCCCGATGGGAGCCCTGCCCTCACAGACGGATTCCTGGAGCTGTCAAGACAGCTTGGGCATGGATTCCTCTCTGCCTTTTGCCATGAAGGCACGTGGTCTTCCTCCCCTCTCCCCTCCGGGGAATGCGGTGTTTGGGCATCCTCTTGGAAGCAGAGATCTGGCCTCACCAGACACCAAGCCTGCTGGCACCAAGACCCTGGACTCCCAGCCTCCACAGCTGGGAACCACCTCTGCTCCCTGGAAATAACCCAGGCTCAGGTATTCTGTTACAGCAGCACCAAGACAGACATTCACCCTCTCCCTCCCTCCCTGTCTAACCCACTCCGACTCACCCTCTCCCTCCCTTGCTCTCCCACTCACTCATTCACTCGCTCACTCTCTAGCCCACTCTTTTTTTTTTTTCTTTTTGAGATGGAGCCTCGCTCTGTTGCCCAGGCTGGAGAGCAGTGGTGCGATCTCGGCTCATTGCAACCTTCAACTCCCTGGTTCAAGCTACTCTCCTGCCTTAGCCTCCTGAGTAGCTGGGACTACAGGCGCCCGCCACCACGTTTGGCTAATTTTGTTGTTTTTTTTTTGAGATGGAGTCTCGCTCTGTCTCCCAGGCTGAAGTGCAGTGGCGTAATCTCAGCTCACTGCAGCTCCACCTCCCAGGTTCACGCCAGGTTCATGCCTCAGCCTTCTGAGTAGCTGGGACTACAGGCGCCGCCACCACGCCCGGCTAATTTTTTGTATTTTCAGTAGGGACGGGGTTTCACCGTGTTAGCCAGGATGGTCTTGATCTCCTGCCCTCGTGATCCGCCCACCTCGGCCTCCCAAAGTGCCGGGATTACAGGCGTGAGCCACCGCGCGCGGCCCTCTCTAACCCACTCCCACTCACTCACTCATATGCTGGCTCACTCACTCTCTAACCCACTTTCTCTCCTTCCCTTCCCTTGCTTGTTCTCTAGCCCATCCTCCCACACTCATTCACTGCCCCCCCACCCCGCCAGGTGTGTGTTCCTGTGCAAGACTGAGATCCAGCTGTCAGCAATAGGCACCATTTGACCCCAGCCTCGTGGAGCCACCATTCACCAGGCTTGAGGGGAGGACGTAACGTCGCTCTGCTCCCTTTAGTGCCAGCCAGGATGGGGCTGGATGGGTGCGGCTGGTGAAAAGAATGCAGCCCCCCAGTCGCTCTCCGAGGCCCCTGCAGACCAAGCAGAACCGCCCAGCTCACAGGCGGATTACAGGGCACCCAGGAGCCGCCTTCCCTCCGGAAGAGCCAAGAAGGATCCCAAGACCAGAAATGCCCCCAGCGTGGCTGTGCCTGTCCCTGGTGCCCTACTTGCTGGGGGGCAGCACCCCAGATGTACCCTGCCCATGCTGGCACCACAGGGATCCCCATCCTCAGGACCCTCCAGTCATTCAAGCTAGAATTGGCGGGTTTCTGCCCTATAGGCATCGGCTTCCGAATCTCAAGTGCTGCTTGGCAGGAAAATGCACAGCAGGAGGGGCTGGGCCTTGGCTCCAGGCTCCCAGGCGCACCCCCCGCTCTCCACTGTGGGGTCCAGGGTGGTCAAGAACAGCCACAACAACAAAAGCCAAACTGGGGACAGAATCATGGAAAAAACCCTCATAGGCTTTTGGGAACTTACAAAGAAATGCTCACATACATTCTACTAACGTGGCACCTACTAGGACCCCACAGAATAGACAAACTTCCACGTCAGGCTGGACACGTGTCAGGGCTGTGGCCGTCTCAAAGTGGGGCCACCGGCAGCATCCATGGCCAGGCCACTGGGTGGAGACAGTGCTGGGGAGGAGCTGGAGGGACCAGGGCTGTCCCCTCAGGCAGAGCGGGTCACCTGTGGTGTGTGCACAGCAGGGTTGTGGGGACACAGGATGGCCCCTTCATCAGTTACCTACATTCTTTGATAAAATTCTACATTCTTCCTGATGAAATGTGGAAAACGGGGTATTTTTCCACCTGAGTCCTGGGCTGCTTTATAAACAAGTGGCAGGGTGGGAACAGAGCAGGACCCAGCTGGAGCTGGCTCAGTGTCCTCCAGCCCCTGGCCCAGCCCATTCTCTGCTCCGAGGGCTCGAGGTTGCCTCGGTTTCCCTGACAGCATCCCCAAGGGCCAGCGTTGCCTCCTCTTCTTGCTCAAAAGCCTAGTGCCCATCTCTGCAGCTGGAATGTGGGCTCCAGGTCGGGGCCCATGGTGGCCTGATGCCTTTTCCCACCGCTGCTCCCTGCACCCAGCCCATGCATGGACACCCTGGCCTCTCAGAACAGTGTATCTGAGTGCACACTGGCCCCAGGTCGGACACTGTGGCTGCGACCACAGTGACCTGAGATGCAACAGGGGGCCTGCTCTGTGTCAGTGACCTGAGATACAACAGGGGGCCTGCTCTGTGTCAATGGGGCTGGGGGCCCAAGGGCTCCAGTTCTGAAGGGACATCTGAGAAACAGCCTGAGGGAGCTGAGGGCTGGAGCCTGGGGAGGGCACAGCCATGCAAAGGCCCCGTAGTGGGCACATACCTTGTGTGCTGGGGGCCACAGAGGGACCCCATGAGGCCTGAGTGAAGGGGCTGAGGAGGAAGACACTTTTGGACACAGGAGGACACTGCTCTCCATAGGGCCAGGCAGGATGCTGGTGGCCTGGAGGAGGTGGCAGGGGTAGGGCGGGGAGCAGCAGCAGGGCTAGGGGGCTGGGCTAAGGCCTGCGTGGCAGAGCATGGTCAGGCACAGGATGGATGGGCCCTGCATGTGCTGGGCAGGGCCTGGAGGCGTCCAAGGGGACAGCACGCCGGGGTCTGCTTTGGCCACACAGAAACATCCCGGAGCCAGTTTGGCAATGATTGGGGGAGGTCCCTGAGACCACCCGGCACTGTTAGGGTGATGACTGGTGAGCACCTGGGCTGCCACCGGATGCAGGGCCGGGCCCAGAAGGCAATGCCCCAGGGGCAGCATGGGACTCCCAGGCTCCTGGTGTGCAAATCACAGGAAACACCCAGAGAACCCTGGGGTGGCGGCACAGCAGCGGTCATCCGAGCATCCAAGTCATCCGTGCGTCCGAGTCATCCGTGTGTCTGAGTCATCCGTGCGTCCGAGTCATCCATGCGTCCGAGTCATCCGTGCGTCCGCGTTATCTGTGCGTCCACGTTGTCTGTGGATCTGAGTTGTTCGTGTGTCCACGTCGTCTGTGCATCCATGTCATCCGTGTCCACATCATCTGTGTGTCCACGTCATCCGTGCGTCCACGTCATCTAAGTGTCCACGTCATCCATGCGTCCACATCATCCATGCGTCCACGTCGTCTAGGTGTCCACGTCATCCGTGCGTCCACGTCGTCTAGCTGTCCACATCGTCCGGCGTCCATGTCATCTAGGTGTCCATGTCATCCACGCATCTGTGCATCCGAGTTGTCTGTGTGTCTGCAGCCGGTCCCCACACATTTTCATAAACACACAGGTCGGCCTTAAAGCCCCACCAAGGTTCCACCACTCAAGGCTCCAGCTGGAGGCCCCACACCTGCCCTGTGCCACACAGCATGGGGTGGACAGAGGGGTTCGTGGGTGGCCAGGCCAGGGCACTGCTGCCTTCTACACACTCCAGGCTTGAGAGTTTTACAGCCACACAGCTTGGCCCTGGGTAGTGGGGCTGGCACCAACCCAGCTGTGAGGCCTGTCCCTCTCCATGCGGTCACAGCTATGATCCCCACTTCTGACGGCCTCCACTGCCCCACATCTCCCACAACTGCCTCCCGTCCATTCCCACCCCCCGCCCAGACACAGGCCATCTCTCTGTGGGCCTCTTGTCACCTGCCCTCTTCTGTGTCTTTCTGTTTTTCCCTCTCCTGCCACCGGCTCCTTGCGCAGCACACGACGTGGCCGGGTTCCACCCGTCGAGCTCCTAGGAACATGCCTGTCGCGCGTGAGGCAGTCCTGAGGCTCCCACGACACGAAGCATCAGAGTCCTCGCTCCTCCTGGGAGCCTCCCACCGGCAGCCCCAGGCCCACGTCATGGACGTCAGAGTCCTCGCTCCTCCCAGCAGCCTCCCACCGGCAGCCCCAGGCCCACGTCATGGACGTCAGAGTCCTCGCTCCTCCCGGCAGCCTCCCACCGGCAGCCCTGGGCCCACGTCATGGATGTGATGGAGGTGGGAGGGGCAAACTGCTCCTGGCCCTGAGGCAGAATCTCCAGCAACGTGGGCAGCAAATGACTCTGAAGAGAAAAGGCTGTCACCACGCGAACGTTTCCATCCAGGGGGAGATGAGTTCACGCAGCACCGCCCGGCTATGGGGGACGCGTGGGGTTGGGCAGCAGGTGGTGGCTCAGCTGTTAACTCGCCACCCCTGTTCACATCAGTGGGGAGCTGGGACCACGCTGGGAAATCCATCACTTCAAATCCCAGACTCCTGATATACACAAGCACACATCACGTGATCCACAAATACTCGGGCTTTGTGATGCGCTAAGTACCAGGGGTCCTGCAGGGAATGGGGACCCTCTTAGAGTGGCAGCCCCAGTCAGCAGGCCAGGACGTGCTGTCCGGGCCCAGTTCCTTCAGAATGAGCCTGTCTGTCACTCAAAGCTCACCCGGGACAGGCCCAGCAACTTCCCCACGGCCTTTGCTCCCACAGCCGAACTGGAGGACTCAGGACATAGGAGCCTGAGGACGCGCCTGGACTGGTGGAGGGTGGCGTCTGGACACGGCCCATGGGAGCTCCCGACAAGATGAGCACCACCTCCTGGTGCAGGGGCAAGGAAGGGGGATCTGCCCTGCTGGCGGGGCCCTTGGCACACACCGCCTCTCTTCTCCAGGGCAGCGTGCAGAGAGGCCGGGCTCCAGGAGGAAAGCAGGGTTGGGGACCTGGTGCTGGGCCCCAGAGCCACACCCCAGTGGCAGCAACTGCCCGAGTGGTGCTGGTTCAGCTGGGGGCAGGCCAGGAGGGGCTGGGGCGGCTCTGGGGTGACTGTGACCCCGTTCCAGCTCGACCCTCGGCGGGCGGGCACTGTGTCCTTTCACCATCCACCCTGCTGCTCCCACTGCCTTCCCCACAGTCCGTGAAAGAGACCCCGAGTCCACAGGTGGGGACCGGGGCCTCACGCATGCCCCACTCCCACACGGAGCTGACACCCACCAAGGGACTGTTCTCAAGCTTTGCCCACTATAGCCCATGGAACTAAGTCCAGCACAGCACCTAGGGGGCCCCCAAAGGGACCAGAAAGCAGCCGCTGCAGGAACAGGTGGCCCCCCTTGAAAGGTGAGACTGAGACCACCGGACCTGCAGCTGTGCCCTGAGCACCTGCCCAAGAGAAACGAACACAGAAGCGGGTTCACAGGTGTTCACAGCAGCACGATTCACAATGGCCAGAAAGTAGAGGCCACCCTATGTCCACTGAGGGTGGATGCAGCGGTGCGGTCTCCATGCGGTGGACACAGTGAGTGGGGTTCAGCACAGGAAGGAGGCAGCGCCACGTGCTACTGCGTGGGTGCACCTTGTGGAGACGATGCTGAGGGGAGAGGGCAGGCACAAAAGGCCGCGGCATGCCCAGGTCCATTTCCATGACCATTTCCATGACACGTCCAGACCAGGCAGAGCCACAGAGCCTGGCGGAGCAGCCACTGCAGGGCGTGGGGAGAGGCTGGAGTGGGTTCGGGTCTTCTCTGGGCACAGGGTGATGAAAGTGATGGCAGTGATGTCAGATAACTCGGGGCCTGCTCAGAACCACTGAGTTGTGGACGTTGGGTGAATGGGGGGAGCACCTTCCTTCTGCTGAGGTCACATGGTGCACTGCATGGAGGTGGTGGTGACCCCACACCAGCCCTGCTGAGGCCAGCTGAGGCAATCTGACCTGAACAGTCACACTTCTTCCTAAAAGCCCCAAGAGCTGATGGGCGGCAAGGAAATGGCAGAAGCAGAGCCGGCGGTCGGTGGCAAGCCCTTCGTGGGCCTCTCAGGCCGTGACGGAAGTCACAACGCAGCCCGCGGCAGCCAGGAAGAAGTAAGTGATGGGAAGTTGCTCACGCGGGCAGTCATGGGGGTGATTCTGCAGTGGTGGAACCCAGGTGGGAAGCCAGGGCCACTGACTGCCTTCCAAGAGACAGCCCACAGCCCGTGTGTGCTGGAGGTCACCTGGCGTGCTCACTGCAGGAACACAGACCTCTCCCAGCTGGAGGCCAAGGGTGGCCTCGTGGTCCCCTTGAGTTCTGGCTGGGGCAGGGTTGGACTCACGCTCAGATTAGACAGTGCTCCGAAGAGGAGCCCCTCACTCTGCAGGCAGTCATCTGTTCTCATCCGTCCACTTCCGGTAAAGCAAGAGTGGTTGAGAGACAAGATCAGGGGCCCGGCTGGCATCGAGGCTGCACCCAGCATTGGACTCTCCCGCGGTGCTGGTGGGCCCAAGGTGGGCGTGGAAGAGAGAGGGTGGGAAAGGCACAGTGGAGACTCAGCTGAGACAGGTGAGGGGAGGTGGCTGGGAGCGGGGATGTTGGCTCCTCATGTGATTCTACTAAGCACCTGCCACGGGCTCAGCTGTGTGGCATGTGGACCCGAGTATGTGTGTGTGGATCAGAGGGGTTCTGTGGGCCAGAGATGGGGATGCCACCACTAACACCAGCTAGGCCAGGTGTGCCTGAGATAGACAGGGGAACGCCACCACTAACGTCGCTAAGCCAGGGGTTCCTGGACCAGAGAAAAGGGGACGCCACCGCTAGCCTCCTCCTGGGCCTGAGGATGACAGTCAGAACCAAAGGCAGGTCTCTTCTCCCTCATGCTCCCAGAGGCATACACTTAAATGAAGAATTTGCGAAGTTGATTCTGTAGCAGGTGCCTATGCTCAGAACATTTCTAAGTGTGTGCATCTGACAACCCCACAACAGAGGATGGCCCTGGGCTCTGGAAGGGCTGTGTGCGGGCACGTTTTGACCACCTGACTCCACCTTCCCCCACGCTCCCACACATGCACAGGCAAAGCAAGTCCTTTGACTAGAAAGTGACTTGTTGGGTGGACAAGGGCCCCCACTGACCACAAGGACCGGGGAGTGACCCCCTGCGCTGGCCAAGGCTGCCTGGAAAAGTCGGGTGGGTGGGGGAGGGGAGCTCCCGCTGCCTCAGAGCTGGGCTTTCTCCTGGTTCAGTTCCGCCTCCTCCGAAATGCACTTAATGAGCTATCCAATCTGCTTTTCTTCCTCAAGAGTATATTTGAAAGGTTTTACTTTCGTAGCTCTGCAACCATTTACACAGCTGGAAACAAATTTCACAGACGGTCCTCAGCTTCAGACAGGGTCACCTCCCAACAAACCCTCCATGTGCTGGAAACATCCTGGGTGGGGAGTGTGCTTCCCACAGAACCCACGACCAAGCGGCGCAGCCTCGCCTGCCTTAACCTGCCAGACGCTCACGCCAGCCCACCATCTGACAAAACCGCCTGTACGCTGACCCCTCAGGGCATCCGGCGCCTCCTGATCACGTGGCCCGCCCGGGCTGCGGTCACCGCCCTCATCACTCGAGAGTACTGACCTCACATGGCCAGCTGGGGAACGGTCAAAACTCAAAGCAGTTTTTACCCAATGCGCCCTGCTCACACGCCACCGAAATCAGATTCTTAAATCGAGCCAGTGTACGTCGGGCCCTGCTCACAGACTCACTCTCCTTCAATACCCGGCGCTAAAGCTGAAGCCTTGAACGCTGCCACTGCTGGTCCCGTCCAGCAACTGCTGATAAAACCAGCCACAAAACTAAAGCAAACGCCCTGCTCTAGGACGGCCCCCACTGTCAGATCCCTGTGGAACCAACAGCCAATGTGCTCACAGGCCAGGACACACGTGCCACTAGCTCCCGGCCACACCGAGCCAGCACAGTCGGAGGGTGCCAGGAAGCGCCATGGGCCAAACTCGTCCGGCCCCTCACTCTCCTGGCTCCGGAGGACGAAATGTGTCTCCCCATCCCTCCTCGGGGCCCTGGGGGCGGCCTCCCATTCCCAGCTGACCTTTCTGGGAGACAGGAGCCTTGGCTCCACACAGGTGGGGCCGTGCCAAGGACCAGCCCAGCCCGGGGGTGCGTGAGCTCACACAGCCCGCCTGGCCCGCGCAGCCCTGGCTCTGTCCACCACTGGTGGGGGGTTGGAGGGGTGGGAGTGGGGTTGGGGTAGATACTGGGGTTGGGGTGTGGGTTGAGGGTTGGGGTTGGGTTGGTGGAGGGGTGGGGGTGGGGTTGGGGGGTTGGAGTGGGGTTGGGGTGGATACTGGGGTTGCGGTGTGGGTTGAGGGTTGGGTTGAAGTTGGACTGGGGGTTGGGTTGGTGGAGGGGTGGGGATTGGAGTGGGGTTGGGGTGGATACTGGGGTTGTGGTGTGGGTTGAGGGTTGGGTTGAAGCTGGACTGGGGGTTGGGTTGGTGGAGGGGTGGGGGTTGGAGTGGGGTTGGGGTGGATACTGGGGTTGGGGTGTGGGTTGAGGGTTGGGTTGAAGTTGGGCTGGGGGTTGGGTTGGTGGAGGGGTGGGAGTTGGATGGATTTGGGGTTGGGGTGGATATTGGGGTTGAGGTGGCGGCTGGGGTGGGGGTGTTGGGTTTGGGGTGGGGGTTGGGTGGATATTGGGTTGGGGTTCGGGTGGGGTGGGGGTTGCATGGATTTGGGGTTGGGATGGCGATGGGGGTGTAAATGGGCTTTGTGATGCTTTACCAGGTCCCAGTCTATGCTGCGGAAGAACGCGTGGGACTTGATGTCTGAAAATCCAGTCTGTGGCCGGCAGCCGAGCCTCTCTTTGGGGTCCTGGAGGTTAGAGTTCAAACAAGGACAAGTCAGCCCCATCCCGGAAGCCCCAGGACCCGCTCTCCTTGGTGGCTGCTCCTAGTGCTGACAAGCCCTCCCCGGATGCTCTGACCCAGCGGGTGGAAATCAGACGTTTCCTTTACTGAAAGCTCCTTCCCCCACGTTAGGCTTCGTTCCGTTTTCCTTGGGCACACGTTCTCATTTTGTTAGGTGTGAGTAAAAACGGACGACTCACAGAACAGAGCTCATATACTGAAGCGGAAAATCAGCCCACACACCCGATACATAGCAGCCGACGTGAAAAAATGGCCAACAGCCGTGACTGGCCCTCTGCCCACCGACACCGAGGCCACAAACGAGTTTGTCAGCATGGCCAGAAACGTACCTTATTTAAAAATCCTTTTAAAACATGGGAGGCTTTGACGGACAGGAAGCGGGGGATCCGGATGGGCTTCTCCAGGATCACTGCAAGGGCGGAGCCTGGTGAGCACTTCCCCGTGTGTGTGCGATTTGCCCAGCGCCGCCCAGACTCCTATTCTGAGCAGGAGCTTTGGGAGCTCAGACTTGGGGCCCTGGAGCCCCCTCCCTTCCTACAGCCCAGCAATATCTATAACCCGAAGTCCCGCCGGGTCCTCCCTGGGCCTCCCGGTTACATGCGCTGGCTTGTGTCATGGGAACGGGCGTGAACCAGCGGCTCCCCCTCCTCAGCCCCAAGATCGCAGATGCATGGGTGCCTCTGCACGCTGGCCACCAGAGGGCACAGCGGAGAGAGCCGCGTTCCCGGACCCCCACATCCCGTGGCACTGAATTCCAGACCAGAAGCAGGTCCTGGGGCCTCCAGGTGGGAAGGAGCCCATGATGATGGCTGTGGGTTTGGGGGGCGAGGGCTGTGCTTTCAGCTCCGTACAGCCAATAGCTGGGGCTCCAGGATGTGCTGCTGGCCAGGGCAGGAGAGAGTTGGAGCTGAATCGGGACAGGTTCTCTTTCCTGCTGACCCACAGGTGGGGTCACCCCACCCCACGGCCCGGGGAGTGGCGTGTGGGACAAGGTCCGGCCAGGAGGAATCGTTCCTGGTATACTTTGTGTGGCACTGCTGTTCCGGGCCCCCACAGGACCCCTCCACCTGCACCTCTGAAAAGGAAGGAAGGCAGTCACGCAGGTGAGGGGGACGAACGCGCAGCGGGGCACACACCTTGGAAAAGGTAGTCCTCTGTGTTCATGTCCGGGTTGTCAGTGATGATGTCGAATGGCGAGCGCCCGGCCATCATCTCAAACATGAGGACGCCCAGTGCCCACCAGTCCACGCTGAACCCTGGGGGAGAGCACGTGGCCGTCACCCAGTGGGGCCACGTGGGCCGGCAGCAGGGCGAACCCGGCTGGGGTTGGTTTTCATGCCCAGTTGACACGAGTGAGAGCCAGGGTCGAGTGCGCGGCACACAGGCCTCTGCGGCTTCCACTTCCTAGACAGAACCAGCACCTCCGCCTGGCAGCTCGGCCTCCCTGCCACCGTCCCTGACACTATGGAGGCCTCCCGGGCTGTCTCTGGGCTGTCAGTCCTGCCAGGGCACCTGACCACAGAGGCACAAGGCACTGGTGGATCCTGTGGATGACCCTCCTCTCTCGTTTCTGCATTTACAGATCTAAGCTTGAAGAAGCCCTTTCGCTGCAATAACAGAAAGACTCTCCCGGGTTTTCTTCCACAGTCATTTTGTGTTTTTTTTTTTTTTTTTGAGACAGAGTCTCGCTCTGTCGCCCAGGCTGGAGTGCAGTGGCCGGATCTTGGCTCACTGCAAGCTCCACCTCCCGGGTTTACGCCATTCTCCTGCCTCAGCCTCCCGGGTAGCTGGGACTACAGGCGCCCGCCACGTCACCCGGCTAATTTTTTTTTGTATTTTTTAGTAGAGACGGGGTTTTACCGTGTTAGCCAGGATGGTCTCGATCTCCTGACCTCGTGATCCACCCGTCTCGGCCTCCCAAAGTGCTGGGATTACAGGTGTGAGCCACCGCGCCCGGCCCATTTTGTTTTTTAAAAATGTTCAAGTAGCCAACCTGATGGGAACGTGTTCCAGCGAATGGGGGTGGGAGGCCCTGAGCAGTTTTGCCCAAGGACAGCAGCTGCCCCTGGGTCCCCAGAAGTCCCCCTGCTCCCTGCTGAGGTGAGACGCTGCCGCTGTCCCCCCCAGAATCCCCATCCCGAGCTGGGTTCTAGAATGGATTCCAGTCCTCCAATCTGCTATCTGTCCTTCTCTGGCTACGGAGACTTCCATCGCGGCAGCTGGGGAGCCCAGTTATCCCAGGGGTGAGTGACCTGCCCACCCTTCCTGCCCCACCCCCATTCTGATGGCAAAAAAAAATGTGTAAAAACATCTGAAGGCACACTCGTGTATGCCTCATTGAAAACACCAGCATGAGACCGGGCGCGGTGGCTCACGCCTGTAAATCCCAACACTTTGGGAGGCTGAGATGGGCGGATCACGAGGTCAGGAGATCGAGACCATCCTGGTTAACACAGTGAAACCCCGTCTCTACTAAAAATACAAAAAATTACCCAGGGGTGGTGGCGGGCACTTGTAGTCCCAGCTACTCAGGAGGCTGAGGCAGGAGAATGGCGTGAACCCAGGAGGCAGAGCTTGCAGTGAGCCGAGACCGCACCACTGCACTCCAGCCTAGGCGACTAAGCGAGACTCTGTCTCAAAAAAAAAAGCAAACAAAACACCAGGATGCAAAAGTGGATGGGGTGTATACAAACACAGTATGCGTGTGCACACAACACACACGGATGCCCAATACATAAACACTCAGCACAACACACCAGCACACACGCACACAGGGCTGCACACGCATGCCCACCATGTCCATGTTTCACTCCCAGAGAGGGGAGAGGAGCAGAAACACTCTGGTGTGTGTGGCGCCCTCAGCCGCAGGGGCTCTGGGGTCCTCTCCATACGTTCCTGCACCCCCTGGTGCTCCCAGACGCCTGCTTCTCCCCAGCCACGTGGGCAGCACGGGGACTCAGGTGCCGCACCGTGTCCCACCCCCGCTTTCTGTGTCTTTCTCCTCCCTGTGCCCCTGGGGCTCCTTGGCAGGAGGAATCCTGTGCAGTGCCCTCCCCAAGGGGCTGCTCAAGTGGACATGAGAGGTTTTCAAGAATTCAAATAAGGGGCTGAGACCAGATGATGACATCCGGCCGCGAAAGAGTGTGTGTGGCTTTTGGGTGGAAGACCGTCAGTGAAACCTCTCCCCGGCTGCTGGGCGAGGTGCGAGGCCGTCTCTGGCCCCGTGTGCTCCGAGAGGGGACGGCCGCGGCACTCACCGTACTCCTCTCCCCGCAGGATTTCGGGGGCGATGTAGTTCGGGGTTCCGCAGAAAGTGCTTGTTGTGTCGCCAGGGCCCAGGCCTTCCTGTGGGGGCAGAGTTATCACAAGAGGGTTCTTGTAGACACCACCCCGCAGGACAGGCGCCCAGAGAAGCACACGCGGGATGGTCGGGGGAGGCGGCCCGAGGCACGCACCTTGCACATGCCGTAGTCTGTGAGCTTGATGTGCCCGTCCGCGTCCAGGAGGACGTTGTCCAGCTTCAGGTCCCGGTAGATGATCCCCCTCTCGTGTAGGAAGTTGAGGGCGATGCAGATCTCGGCCGCGTAGAACCTGGGGGCGGGGATGCTGTCATGGGGACAGTGCCTGTGCCGGAGGCTGCACCAACAGCTCCAGCCTGGGGGCCGCACGCTCCCGTTTGCCCCACCACTGGCCAGGCGTCCTCTCAACGACCAGGCCCAGAATTTGAAAGTTCAGTGCACAGGGCCAGGGAGGGAAATGCAATGAAAGCTCCAGGACACTGCCCCATGCGCCTTAGGATGGCCTGCTGTCAAAGACACAGAGAACGACGTGGCAGCCTCCACACGGGGAGGAGCAGGCAAGTAACACGACGGCTTCCACGAGGGAAAGACGGGAGCCCTGGCACGGTGCGGTAGGAGCGCAGAACAGCGCTGCTGCTGTGGAAGACAGTCCGGCAGGTCCTCGAAAATTAAACACAGCGCCAGGCTGGGCGGCTCACGCCTGTAATCCCAGCAGTTTGGGAGGCCAAGGCGGGCGAATCACCTCCTGAGGTCAGGAATTCAAGACCAGCCTGGACAACATGGTGAAACTCCATCTCTACTAAATATACAAAAAAATTAGCTGGGCGTGGTGGCACACACCTGTAGTCCCAGCTACTCAGGAGGCTGAGGCAGGAGAATCACTTGAACCTGGGAGGCAGAGGTTGCAGTGAGCTGAGATCGTGCCACTGCACTCCAGTCTGGGTGACAGAGCGAGACTCCATTGAAAGAAAAAAAATGAAATATGGAATTCCTTTGTGGTTAGCAATTCAGTTTCTGGGCCTATACCCCAAAGAACCGGAAGCAGGGTGTTCAAGAGATTACTTTACACCCGTGTTCACAGCAGCACTGTTCACCACGGCCAACATGCGGACCCCACCCAAGTGCCCCCCAAGGGATGGACGGAGAAGCACAGTGTGGCCCCTCCATCCGATGGGCATTATCCAGCCTGAAAAAGGAAGGCAATCCCGAGACAGGCCACGGCACGGATGAAAAAGGCAGGCAATCCCGAGACAGGCCACGGCACGGATGAAAAAGGAAGGCAATCCCGAGACAGGCCACGGCACGGATGAAAAAGGAAGGCAATCCCGAGACAGGCCACGGCACAGATGAACCCTGAGGACTCCAGGACACCAAGGGACCCACACTGTGACTCCACTGCGAAGAGGTCCCTGGAGTCCTCGAATCAGAGGGACAGAAAGTGGGACACGCCCATCTGGGGCGAGGATGTGGGGCTGGGGCGGGGGACAGGACGAGAGTGTCCGACAGACCGAGCTTCAGCAGGGAAGAGCGGCGTGCTCTGGGGACGGGGGCCAGCGGTGGCTGCATGGCACGGGGTGCCTTCAGTGCCACTGAACTCCATGCCCCAAAACGCTACCTTTTGTGTGTGTGTATCTTGCCACGGTTTTTAACAAGAGCGTATGGGAAGGGAGTGCACTGTTCTAGATTTATTGCCTACTGTCCTATTGCCAGAAAGAATCTAAGGTGACTCACAAAATTGCATGGAACTTTCTTAAGTAAGGAAGTGAGGAAAAGGAGAAACTACAGAAGACAGGAAAGGTCCAGGGAGCTGAAATAAGCCCCTAGACGGTCCTGGAGGCCCCACGGCTGCTGGGGGAGGCCCAAAAATAGAGACACGAAAGAGGGGGCAGGAAGCAGTCTCTCGGCTCACTCTAGAAAGAGACCATTCTCGTTCTGCTCCTGACGCTGAGTGAACGCTGGCCACGCTGTGCCACTAACAGGGTGGAACAGTACCACGGCAGAGCCACCACGAAGACAGCACAGTCCCAGGCCTCATCTCTCTTGGACCAGGCTCAGACCAGGCACCTGCTGCTTCAGGCGTGGGGCCCAGGGGACCGGTTCTGAGGCACCATAACTCAGGGGACCTTCCGAAAGTTATGATTCCAGAGCAACTATGGAAGGCGTCACACTGTGGGGGATGTCACACTGCGGGGGTTGTGGTGCCCTCTGCCATCCTCCCCGGACCTCCCTCCCTTGAGTGCCTGGCTGACCCCTGGAGAACGTCTCCGGCCCCCTGCGCGCACACCCACCTGGCCCCTCCGCACCACTGCGCGTACCCACCCGGCCCCTCCGCACCACTGCGCGTACCCACCCGGCTCCCCCACCCCCGCACGTACCCACCCGGCCCACCGCCCGTGCTCACCCCACCCACTCCCTCGCCACGCTCACCCACACGCACCCCCCACACGCGCACCCACCTGGGCCCCCCTGCTCCACACGCACCCACGCCTCCCCACCCCCCGCCACGGGCACCCACCCGGCCCCCTCAGCGCGCACCCACCTGGCGTGCTCCTCGGGGAGCTTCCTTTGCCTCTGCATGTGGAACATCAGGTCCCCGCCGTTGACGTACTCAATGACCAGGAACAGCCTGCAGGGAGAGAGGCATCGGAGGCTGCAGTCACCTTGGCAGACGGCGGCCTCCTTAGACAGAAGCCCCACAGAAGCAGCCTTCATGGGTCTGAGCCCTCTCAGAGGTTCAGTCTTGCAGAGGCCTGGGCCATTGGGGGCTGGGAGAGCAAAGAGCAGCAGGACCACCCTGGCAGCAGAGAGGGGTGGGGGGGATGGGCTGCAGGGCGGCTTGTGAAGTGGGCAGGGGAGGGAGTCACGCAGGGGCCTCGCCGGCCTTTGCTCTTGGCCACCGTGTATGGACTTGGGAAGTGTGGGTGGGCTGCAGAATGAAGGAGGTGGCTCGTCACCAGGTGGGAGCGGAGGTGGCTTGAATCAGGGCAGGGGGCTGGGGCAGGATCTGCCGGGGGCTGGAGCGAGGCGGTTTCTTGCATGGGGACAGCACCGCAGGCCCCGGGTGGGGCGGCCTAAGGCCTGGTTTCATCGCTGTGAGGCTGAGGAGTCCGCCAGCCCTCCAAGAGGACAAGCTGGGGTCAGGGTGAGGCCAGGCGGGAAGTGGCCTCCTGGTTTCGCAGACGTGATCGTACGATTTTAAAAGACCTGTGGACGTCATCAGGACCATGCAGGCCCTTCCTGTTGCAGGGACTGGGCCACGTGGTTTCTCTTCCTAGTAAGGTCTTTCCTACATTTCATGAGACTCAATTTTCAAAATTAAATTCCCACACAATCTCCCAGAAATACCCTGTGGCGGGCACCTTGTGGGTTTTTAGGTCAGTGGCTCCTCTGGCACCTGAATTGTTTATTTCCCTCAGACCGGTGGCTGCTCCTGGCTGCCCCTCGTGGAGCAGGGAGTGGACGAGGGACGTGTGCGGCGAATCTGCCCGTTTCCCTCAATCCCACGCAAGCTCCCACACCACCGCCACTGTTCCACCTCAAGGCACCTGTCCCTGCTCCTGCCCTCCACGAGCTCCCAGAATTAAGCCAGAGAGGACAGGGGCCAGTTTACACAGGGCAGGTGAACTGGCTGCAAATCATCTGTGAAGTTTCTGATTGGAAACAAACTCCTAAAAATCAAAAGAGCCCTGGGCCCCGAGTGCAGAGCTGGAGAGACGTCCACCTGGCCAGTCCAGCATCTGGAAGAACAAGCCGTGCCTTTGGAGAGCGGCTGGAGAAGGGAGCAGCTGGGAGAGGGAGCGGCTGGGAAAGGGAGCGGCTGGGGAGGGAGTTGCTAACAGAGACCCTGTGGCCTGCAAAGCCAAAAATGTTTACTCTTGGGCCTTTCAAGAAAAAGTTTGCCAATCCCCGGTATTATAAACAAAATGGCAATGACAGAAAGAGCAGCTCTGAGGGTGCCCTCGGTGTGCAGGAGCGTCCTCGGTGCATCCGTGGAGGGACTCGTTCAGTAGCGTCAACCTCACGGGAAGGAAGCTGCATGAAGGCCACCAACCCCTGGAGCCCACGCGTGACCTAAGAGCTGGTCAGAAAGCTTTTTGTTGTTGTTGTTTAAAATCATAAATTTTACATTATAAAAAAAGTAAAGAAGAAAAATAAAAGTTTTAATTTTACCTTCAAAAAAAGTTTTACATTGGATAAAAAGAATTACTTTTTAAAAAAATTATACTTTAAATTATACTTCAAGAAAGTGCAAACACACATGCTATGGAGGTTTCCTGAACCCATCAACCTGTCATCTACATTAGGTATTTCTCCTAATGCTCTCCCTCCCCTAGCTCCCCACCCCCTGACAGGTCCCAGTGATGTTCCCCTCCCCGTGTCCATGTGTTCTCACTGTTCAGCTCCCACTTATGAGTGAGAATCATGCGGTGTTTGGTTTTTTGTTCCTGTGTTAGTTTGCTGAGAATGATGGTTTCCAGCTTCACCCATGTCCCTGCAGGGGACATGAACCCATCCTTTTTTATGGCTGCATAGTATTCCATGTGTCACGTTTTCTTCATCTAGTCTATCACTGATGGGCATCTGGGTTGGTTCCAAGTCTTTGCTATTGTGGACAGCGCTCATCGGCTTTTTTCATGATTTCATCATCTACATCTTTAACACCCATCACCATGACTATGTTGCATCCAAAAACCGTGGTTAGGATCCTTCGAATGATATCAGATCTAACATATGGGCAAGCATGGCCAAGGTGTGCATGGTCATATACAGTTGGTCCACAGCTATACCAGGAGGCAGCTTCGGCGTGTGCCACGATTAGGGGTTCCTTCCTTCCAGTGAGGCTGTCATACACCTGCACGCCTGTCTCCCGGCCCGTGGGCTGCAGCCAGGCCCGCCCGCGCCCCCCGCTTGCTGCCCAGCCCGCAGGCCAGTGCCACCCAGCCGGCCTGAGGCCCAGCGCGGCCTGGAGCAGCAGGGCGCCCAGGCTTTGGCCACGAGTCCTCAGCATGTCATCGGCCAGTGCCTACAACTGGACGGAGACAAGAGCCACCGGTCAGAAAGCTTTAAGAAAGGATTTATTCAAAACCCTTAGAGTGCCTGGGTGCGGTGGCTCATGCCTGTAATCCCAGCATTCTGGGAGGCCAAGGCTGCAGCAGACCACCTGAGGTTAGGAATTCAAGACCATCCTGGCCAACATGGTGAAACCCCGGTCTCTACTAAAGATACAAAAATTACCCAGGGCTGGTGGTGTGCACCTGTAATCCCAGCTACTCGGGAGGCTGAGGGCTGAAGAATCGCCTGAACACAGGAGGTGGCGGCTGCAGTGAGCTGAGACTGCGCCACTGCACTCTAGCCTGGGCAACAGAGCAAGACTCCGTCTCAAAGAATAGAACAAAAATACAAAAAAACACAAAAACCCTTAGGGTGACTTCACCGCACATTTTTTGCCACCAGGAGTTACACGCCCCAACGGGTGCTAGTCCCTTCTGCCCGTCCCCTGCGAGAGGAGCCACGTTCACCCCCACAATGCCGCTGCCGTGTGCCTGGGAAGGGCCTCCATGGCCTCTGTGGGTTCATCCTGACTTTAAGCTATCATGGCCCATGGGACAGGGACAAAGCCAGCGCCATTTCCAGAGAAAATAAAGAAATACGTGAATTCTAGAGAAAAGCATCAGTACGATGCCTCAGGAGGCTGAGATAATTTGGGGGACGTTTCAACCCTCAGAGAGGTAGAGGTGCAGGTCGCTTCCTCCTCCTCTCCAGAGAAAAGCCCATCGTGGGAACTGCGCTGAGAGCCATTTCTCTCTGCCGGAGGCCTGGGACCCAGGCAGCTTGCTGAGAAAGGAATTTATTTAATTTGCAACTGCTCAAGCGGCAATGATGGTGGGTTTTTTTGTCTACAGAAAAACCTTAATGCTACTTCTGACATTTCTTCAGAGCAAAAAATCCACAGGACAATCTGGTGTCAATTCACTCTGAAGGCGACTCGGCGTGATGCAAGCTGAACCGGCTGCTGACAAAACACCTGGGACCGCAGCTGAGCAAGCTCCGAGCCCACTCCTCACCTCACGCTGGTGGTGTGCACCTGTAATCCACATAGGCGCCGTCCTGCGCACAGGCTCTCAGGCAGGGGCTCAAGGCCAGGCCACGGGGCGTGTGTGGCTTCACCCATTAGCCCCTCGGTAACACGCGCAGTCCTGACCCCAAGGGACACTGGGAAGTACGGCCTGGTGGGGGCTCAGGCTGCCCCTCTGTGTACCAGTAGCCGCACTTGCCATATCGTGGCCTGATCTGGGCTGGGGATGCCCCTCCCTGTCCTGGCAGCCATGCTCCTCCCATGTTTGCAAGGGGAGAGGAGCAACCAAAGCCCAGGTGGGAGGCGGGACGCGGGATGCACGAGACACGTGCCCTCAGAGATGTTTTTTTGAGACAGGATCTCGCTCTGTCACCCAGGCTGGAGTGCAGTGGCGTGATCATGGCTCACTGCAGCCTCAACCTCTCAGGCTCAGGCAATTCTCCCACTTTGGCCTCGTGAGGAGCTGGGACCACAGGCTCACACCACCACCGTCAGCTAATTTTTAAATTTTTTATAGAGACGGGGTCTCGAGATATTTCCCAGGCTGGTCTTGAACCCCTGGCCTCAAGTGATCCTCTGGATTCAGCCTCCCAAAGGGCTGGGATTACAGGTATAAACCACTGCACCTGCCTGTCCGCAATACTTAATCAAATATGCAAACGTCAAGAACGCCAGCGAAAATGGATTCATCAACAACCAAAGACAAAGTGCAGCTCTCAGGAACTAGGCGAGACGCTGACTGCAGCTGGATCCAGTCCCCGACCCTGCCCTGGAACCCGCACCATCCAACAGACGTGGGAAGTGGAGGGACGGGAGCGGGAGCTGCAGGGGGAGGCTGGAAGCTCACAAAACCTCCCAGGGGGCAGCCAGGGACTCCGGGAAGCTCACAAAACCTCCCAGGAGGTGAGCCCCATCCTCGCTGCCGCCCCTTCTCGCCACTCCCCCCACCCTCTCCAGGAATGCAAAGTGCTGGCTCAGAAGGAGGAACCGGAGGCACAGGAGACGCCGCTCTGAAAGTCAAGAAGTAAGCAGATGGGTCCGGGCCAGCTGCCACCATGTGTGTACAGAAAGTTCTGGTGGAACGCAGCCACACGCATCCCTTCACACAGCGTCTAAGGCTGCTTCTGTGCTAGAACGCGTAGTTGCCACAGAGGCCGCATGGCCCACAAAGGTGGAAATATTTACTGCTTGACCCTTTAAGGCAACCTTTACTGACCCCTGGTGCGGCCCTCAGTAAGCGTCAGGGGCCACTCCAAGTCCCTCTGTGTTAACACACATGACTGCATCACCAGGAAGTAAGTTTCAGCCCTTGCCGTTTTACAGACGGGGAAGCCGAGGCACAGACAGGTTGGGGGACGTTCTTCGGCTCACACAGCTCCTGGCTTGTCAGACACAACATCAGACGACTCGGGCAGGCCCAGAACCCTCAATTGGAAACCCCACTTTCAGGTCCTGTCCCCGCCTCACAGCGGACACCATAGCGGTGACAGAGCTGCCCCCAGAGGGAGAAGGCCAGGGGTCACCTGAGTTCAAGGAACAGGAGAGGAGAA